GTTCACTGCCTTGAAGATCTCTAAGTGCTAAATTGAAGTCCCCTTCTGTGGAAGTTCTTGCAAGGTTTCGCAAACTGTTCAGGAGGTTGTCTTTCTTGTCTTTGTTAATGCCATTCTTTGAGTTGTTGATCCACCGTACCCATGCTTGTTCTCGATGGAAATCACAAATATACACAAGACAGCCTGGTACAGTTATAAAACTGAGTTGTAAAATCTCTCTGATAGGAGAATACATGCTGCCAACCACTTCAGCTAACACGAGGCCTATTGTATGCCAAAAATTAAACTACCAACGAAGGGCGCCTAGCATGACCTGTGAGCCATGGAGTAAAATAATAATACTATTACTACTACTACTACTAAAAATAATACTAATAATGCTAATAATAATAATAATAATACTAGTAATTTATTATTATTATCATTATTGTTATAATAGTAACATTGATTTTTTCCAGGAATCTAAAATACACATTGACCCTTTTGCTTCCAAGATCTCAATGTTAATTATCCTTACCATTATCTACACATTTCTTATTTTTTAATTGATTCTAAAAGATTTCCAAAACTTTCTAGGACCAGAAACCTTTTTCCAGGACTTTCCAGTTGTGCAAATGCCAAAATAAAATTCTGGGACTTTCCAGGTTTTCCAGGACAAGTATGAACACTGTTGATATTTTCATGAAATTAAAGTAATGATTTTGGAATGTCTGGAGAATTACTGGTAATTGACAATAATTTATTGTCATTATTTTCAGGTTAGTCCTGTAAGAAATAATTTTTTCTTTTTTTGGGGGGGGGGGAGGGGAGGGAAGAACTTATTCCTAATAAGTATTGCCTCTCTATATTTCCCACTTGAAATAAAGAAAATGGTTATAAAATGGTTATTATCAATATTTACCAGTATATGTTTACATGCTTACTTGGAAACAGCCTTTCAATGGCATTGATCTCTGCCTCACTGAAGTCCACCATAAAGAAATCAGGGTTCCATGTTGGGTTCCAGTCCTTAATGAGCTGTAGAGCTTCATTAATGGCATCTGCATTTTCCAGCAGAACCACAAAAGAAGCAATAACACAGTAATCTACATTGGTTTTCACACACAGAAAGAATGTGGGGAGGGCAATTAATGTGAAGTTTTGTATGTTGCATCCAGTAGGCAAATTTCACCACCATACTTAAAAAGCAGCTCTCTTTGCCACTTCGTCTGGTGAACAAGGAGGAGGTTGTTGGATGGATCACCTATACTTATTTTAATTACATCAGTGCTGTCTTCTTCCTTCAGTGACTGTGGTTGTTGATAGGACTCACTATCACTTGTTAGGCAGTAAGGCCTGAAAAAGAAATTATCATCTGGGCTTTCTTCTTTCCACTTATTGATTTTTAAGTCAAGGTTTTCTTGATCAATTTGTGAATGTCTGCACACCACTGTGGCACGATACATGTGGTTCCTGACATCCATGGTTGTTGGGATTAGAACCGTCTGTTGGTTAGATCTGGAGGCTGTTGGCCTGTGAAAAGTTCCTTCTTTACATAATGATGCAGGTGCTGTTGCATTTCAGAAACACAATTAACACCACTTCCAACAAGCTCATGAATTTTTTTAACCAGTGTCTCATCAATAGGCTGAAGTAGCCCAGCAGTCTGATTACACAACAAGAAAGAAAGAATAATTGCTTTATTATTTATTCATTTAAAAAATTACACAACCTCATTCCCAGGTTTTCTTGGTCAATGGTTCAATAACCTTTAAAAAGTCCATGACAGCATTCCATTAAAACAGTGCCAGTGGAAATCCCTCTCCGATAAAATTGTGATATTATAGTCTTGACATTGAGTTTGAGGAATGAGTGCCAGTGTAGCTAAAAGAAGCTCTACATGTAGTACATTTTATTGGTCTTTTGTTGTGATGTATAATCTTTATTCATTCTTTATATATATTCGACATGACAGTGGAAGCAGCACAGTCTACAGTAGACTGATGATCTGTGTGAAGTTAAGTCACCTTAAATTCCCCACCAAACTTCAGTTTCCTGATTCCAAAAAAAATTTAATTGATGGCCAAGTACTTACCCTCCCCATGGGATGAAATAAGTGATCCGTAGGTTTAGGAAGTAATATGTAAATACGCTCCTCTGTAGCTATTGTTTGCTTCTTTTCTGACTCTAGGGATGTTCTCAGAAATTTTGACATTGTCTCCCTTCTACTCTTTGTGTTCTCTGAAATCTAACGATACAATGTTTTAATTAAAATAATATTTGAAAAATTGGTTTCTAAAATATTCACTCTGTTTCCATTACAGGTAAATTTGTTTCAATTCTGCACAACAAAATGTCCAGGTTGTCTTATCATATGTCCACTTCACCTACATGTAACACAAGGCCCATTAGGATTAAGCACCCTTTATTAGGCTAGTGATCATTCATGTTAATGGTAGTGCCCCCTGAACCCTTATTCAATAATTAAAATAAACTGACCTTATTTTCAGGATACTTGATTATTTTCCTTAGGTGGATCTTTGCTGGACAGTCACATTTCTTCGTATCCTGTACTATAAAGCGCTGTTTGGTGTTGTTATAGCAGTGATCAGCATTCTCCTTCTGAAACCAAATAGATTTATTGGATTGTTAGATAGAGCAGTCATATGGGAATAGTCAAGTTATCAATAAACTTAGAAGTAATGAAAAGTATCCTTTAAAATAGTACTTGATTCCTACCTTGTAAACTGCAGTCACAGTGGTCCTTTTTTGCGACTTTGCTTATTTTAACAAATAAATTTGTGATATGTCCTTTTACTTGCAAGTGGTAAAAAAGAAAACATTAGTGTGTGCTATTAGCCCTGAGGGAGAGGTGAGTGCTCACCAACTTGCTTAGAAAAATCAGTTGGGACTTACCACCTTGTTAGCTTAAGAGCAAATAGGTGAAGGTAAATCAATAACTATGTAATGCCCTATATATGATATCCTCTTTGGGAGTCCTTAAGTAATAATATCATCTTGTTTACATTCTTATTTAGTTAATTATTATGCATGCTTACATCTTTTTGTAGTCTCTTTTGAGCCTCCTTCCTTTTGAGTGCCTTATTTCTGTCTGGCCCATTTTGGCATTCTAAAACTTTGACCCCCACAATTTGGAATGGGATGCCATCAAAACTTAGTCTGCATCCTGTCATCTCCTGTGAGTCAGCCCATTGTATACGGTGGTTCTTAGCATTTTTATCTGCATTTTCTTTTACGTGAGAAGAGGAACCAAGCTAAGTTAGCAATACGATACATGTACACAAACACATACGTACATATGTACACATGGGTGCTTAAAATGGAGGGCCTGAAAATCAAGCCTGCCCCATCCAGATGTAGCCCAAGGACTGGTGTAATGAATGGGGATGCTGGCAGCTGTGTGTCAATAGCATTGAGTAGGGTTTTGACACTTTAAGCTTGATCTTAATTAATTAAGCATTTCTTGCCAACTCTTGCTGCAGGCTCACAGTAAATTGACACTTGAAGCTAAGTTGAATTTTAATTACATGTTAATTTTGAAAGTCTAACTGACCAGTGTAAACCGAAGAATAATGATGTGTACATGTATTCTTAAGATATCAATAATTATTGGAAAAAGTTAAATCGCTTTTTTTATTTTGATTTATCGATATTTCATGTTAATAACACGATCTCACCCGCTTTTCTGTTCAAATCTGCCAGAAACTGGCTCAAACGCACTTCCTATTCCATGAGTACACTGTAAAATACGCTTTAACAAGAATAAGCGGAAGTCACGTTGTAACCTGCGGATAATCAACAAACAAGATGCCGCTGATATGTCGTGGGCTCATCTGTTTTAGGACGATTATATAGAGTGTTTTCCCTTTAAAATACTCTTATGCTGTAGTGTATAGGCATCCGAGGTAGGAATGCGATAGAAGAGGTAAGCAGACTCAAAATGCAAATAGGGGCCTAAGTTAAAGTAACGTAAATTCTTTGCTAGTAGTCGGACCACGGGGTGTTTTTTCCAAGCGAATTTTTTCCAAGTTGTTCGGGGAAAAGTGCTTCTAAAAATTCAGATTATCTGGAAAAATGGCTCAGCAAAAAGTTGAACCAGTATTTGAGTTCAAGGTAGGTTTTTCTTCATTTCAGTGTTTCAACTCGTGGTCGGTAGGTAGGTATCTATGCAGTAAATATAAATGTCGGTCGTTTAGTTTCGCAAATGTTCGCAAACGTGTCGAAAAAACGCAAACGTAACGAACCACACGCGTTTAGGCGAAGATGACGAAACATCTTAAAGGATTGGGTTTAAATAAAAGCAACTTCAAAATGGCGGTCTATATGTATCCAATTGACTTTTAGTTGGTGTGGTGAGTCATCCACAGTCCATTTGATTATTAAATATACAACGTGTCAGTAATGTAGTATTTTGAACCGTATAGTTAAAACGCAGGTTGACATATAAATGTTTATAACGTTTGCGAACTGACTTCCAAACGTTTGCAAACTGGAGGGTTATTTTTAATCTCTCCAGTACCCTCTTGGGTAGTGTATACCTAGACCAGCTTCTCCCCTGTTATAGTCGATTTTGGCAAGAGTGGTGTCTTTGGAAAAGCTAAAAATGCTGTTCCAAAACCTTCGCACTTAAAATGTTATTATAAGAATAGTTACATTGCAGCAAAGCTTGTAGACTGAACAGGGTGACCATAAGTTGAAAGCGATGTGTATTCTCTGGATTATCTAATCAACACAGTTTCTGGACTTTAAAAGTTCAAAACCATTTCCTGTATAAAGAGGGGTTTGTCAGAGTTAGCCTTATATAGGCCTAGGTCTTTGATCATGGAGGTGAAATCAGCTTTACTGGTACCACTTTTTAGGCTATTTTTGAGTTTTTTCTTTTGGCTTGTATTAAATTGTTCTGTTATATGTTTCTGTAACATTTGTTCAGGACTATTTGTGGACCTTGTGTTAATGATTTACTGTTGTCTTCTTTAAGACATGCATTGTTTCTACAGAGGAAAATAAGCTTAGTGTACCACCCCTTTGGTTTTTTCAAATTAGACCTGTTAAGTTTGTATGAGGCATTTCTCTGGACTTTTTTTTCTGAAAAATGAGCAAACAAAGTAGACTTGTATCTGGAAAATTATTAACAATGTGATTATCAGAAGTTGCAGTGTTTTCCATTTCATTCAAGGGAAGCTTTATTAATTTTTTTTTATAGCAATTATCAGATGGCCTGGAATGTTTAGCAAACACCTTGTGCCATCAGGAGGCATCAAAGCTTAGCTTGAGTTACTTATGCAAATTATTTTCCAATGTAAAGCTTGTCATATTGAGTTTAGTACACTAGGGTAAGTAAGTAAAGCCTTTATATAGGCCCAAGTGGCCCATGGGGCTGGCGCTTAACTCCAGTTTCCTTTAGCATGAAGCGGATAGGAGTATTGCTACTCCCCCCCTGCATGGGATGCTAGTCCATCGCAGGGTTACCCCTAGCACATTTGCTGGTGCCCATTTGTACACCTGGGTGAAGAGAAGCACTGTGAGAGTAAAGTGTCTTGCCTAAGAACACATCACAATGACCCTGGCCAGGGCTTGAACCTGGACTACTTGATCCAGAGTCAAGCACACTAACCATGAGACCAATGTGCCTCCACTAGTACACTAGGGTACTTCTGTATAATTAAATTTTGATAGAACCAAATGTTTGTGTTTTATATTTCTGTTTAGCTTATTCTTGTTGGTGATGGTGGTACTGGAAAGACAACCTTTATCAAACAATTTAAGATCAAAGATCAAAAGATCAAAAGATCCCAAGAAAAATGTGTTGGTGAGTAACCTAATTGGAAATTGGCTCTTTATCTGGATACAGGTAATCAAAACAATTAAAACAGAATGGTTTGTATGTCAAAACAATTATTTATGACAGGATTCGAAAGCACCTAAGCAATTATCATAAATTTGTCTCTGGGATTATTCAACAATGTTCACTTTTCCTTCAGCAAATAATTGTTAAATATACTATACAGGTGAATAGTATCTTTGCACGCACTGATTGGCTAGTTTGAAAAGGGATTGGCAGGTACTATTCACCTCCGAGCAGCAGAGTACACAAAATTGTGGCAAGAGTTTCATTTCTGACCATTTTTTTGATACATTGACAGAAATGAATATTTTAGTCAGGGCATCTGCTAAAACAATAAGTTACCTTACTACAGATGAAAGTGGTAGATATGTAACTCTTCAATTTGCAGTTTGATAAATAACCACCATTTATCACCTCCACCTTGGCAAGTAACTGTTAATTATTAATGCAGGAATGTTCATGATTTTCCTGTAAAATTATTTATGTGTAGACGTGGGTATCATCAGAATGTTTGGTAGCTCATTGGTAAATTTTCCATTGCAATGGGACTAAATATTCCTTTTTGGTGGAAGTCAAAGGTATAGTGTAAGCTGACGGTAAAGGAATAATTTTTTTCTTGACAGGGGCTTGTTATAGATAAGTTGGAATTTTTCCAGAAGCTGACACAAAATGGTGGGGTCTGAGGGGATAATTGTTCTCACAGTTGGCTTGTTTCTGTATCCAGCAGAATCACAACAACATCTACTGCTGTTCTATACAAACAAAGGGGCTTTCCAGTTTATTTGCTGGGATACTTCTGGCGAAGAAAAGTTTGGTGGTTGCTGTGAAAGTTTCTTTAGAGAGGCCCATTGTGCCATAATCATATTTGATGGTACATCACAAGTGACATACAAGAACGTGCCAAGCTGGCAAAGAGATCTTGAGAAAGCGAGAGGAGACATCCCTATTGTGCTTTGTGAAAACAAATTTGACATAAAAGATGGTAAAGTCAAGGCCAAGTATATAACATCTGACGAAAAGAAGAACTTACAGGTACTGTTACCTTTGAACTCACTAAGAAATGTTATATTTTAGAAAATGAGAAAGCAAAAAAGAGTAGCATTTTATCTGAAAAAAATGTTATAAGTTTGTTTTCAGTTCTATCCAAAAAGCAGAGAAGAATGCTTAATTTACAATTTTTGAATCCTCTGAAATACCTGCAAAGCATATTTACCTTAATGTGCAACTGATCAAACATAGGAAACAAGCATTGTAAGCATTTTGCATGCAAAATTAGTCTGGTAGGAAAATGAAAATGGCCAACCACTATCTTTGCCAGCCTTATTTCCATTCCATTTGGCAAAAACAGAAGAATATACATCTCCTCCTGTGAGACCAAACTAAAGTTATTATATTCCACTGTTACACAGATAAAATACTATCATTTAAAACCTGCAAACTCTAAAAGCAGTATTTTGTGGTTAAGAGTCTTGTACCAATCTGTGCAGAATGCATTATCAGTAATATTATCTCATCTTTCCTTATTTCCTTACAGTACTGTGGAATAAACACCGAGAGTAACTACAACCTTGAGAAGCCATTATTGTTGTTAGCACAAAAACTTGTTGGTGATCCAAATCTAAAGTTTGTGGAGATGCCTCCTCTTGAATAACCAGAGGTCCAAGTTGATGATGACAAGAATGATATATAATCCCAATACTCTAAGAATATATGCTCTTTTGTGTATTCTCTAAACCAATTTGGATTTCTTCTGGTTATTGTATTTTAGCTACAGGGCCATGCCTCACATGGGGTGCCAGTCTCATTCACACCTGCCCTTTTGGGATAGAATTAGGTTAACTGCAGAGCAGAAGCTCTAGTTTCAGTTACAATTCAAAATACCCTCCTTCCTTAGATCTTTAATTCAATTTGTAACTGTGGGTGTTTTAATCATGTAGTACTCATGAGAAACAAATCTTCATTATGTGTACTATCTTTCACATGTGGATATTTAGTTAGCAAAGAAGCATGGAGAAAAATTTATGGAAAGTGGCCTGTTGTAGATAACTCACCATGCAGTTACATAAAACAGAAATTATTTATATAGCTTTGTTCAAAATATGTCAAGAAACCTTTTTTTGTCTTGTGTTGCTGCAACAGTTATATGAAGACATGTCCAGATAACTTATAGCTATCAACAGTGAAAGTTCAGAGAAAGATGCAACTATGACACAGTCACACCTAAGTGCTCCTAAAGCATGAAGAATAAATCTTCTAATCTTTTGTTTGTTACACTCTTATTTATGTCTGAGCAAAAATAACGTCAAATAAAACTTTCCTGTTAGGGAGAGTGGTTGAAATTGGGGCACAGACAGTTCACTGGTGTCTTGTGTTCTAAGTGAAGTGTCTTCCTCTGCACTGGTGGGTAGGGCAATTGTGGTCCTCTTCAAAAATGTAATTTCTGATGTTTGAGTGACATGGGAATGAATTAGTCAGAAATTAATATTCTGATGGCATGTTGAAGAGGTTTGCATGGCAACACGGTAGTTTCAGATTATTTAAGCGTTTTGCAGGAAAATTAAGTCATTCTACATTGGTCAGTCTTAAGTTTGACCACTTTCTTTTTTTTTTTTATTTAATGTAATTTTGTTTTACAACTCTCTGTAAAATATCACTGCTTTCACTGAATTTTCTGTGTGATTAGTAGTGTAACTAGGTTTATTTTAGTTACCCTTTCCGTGGGGTATAGTGCTGCTGCATTAGATGAGGAGTATGATTCCACATATTTTTTGGCCACTTCTAAAGAGTGGTTTTTTAGTGGTTTTTTGTATCTGGTGTAGCACAGCCTATTTAAGTGTAACCCTTCAGTTTCAGTGAATACTTGCAGTACATTGCAGATTGTAGTAGGATGTGTAGACTACAAGACTAGCTGACTCATCAGTAGGATGTGTAGACTACAAGACTGGCTGACTTGTCCTAAATAAACTTTCACATTGAATATCTTACCTGAGTGTAGTCAGAATCTCTGCTTTTTTTTAAAAAAACTTCACTCACCAAAGAAAAAAATAAAATTAAAGAAAGCCTTGAGTTGATGATCTTTGCAAAGTTTCTGGCTCCCTCCCAAACAAACTTAAATGTTGGCTATGCTGTTTAAATTTTGTAAGATTGAAACAAACTTGGAGTTAAATTTTCCTTACCAATTTTACTTTACATGAAAATGTATTCAGAGGATGCCTTTATCCTCCACATTCACAATTCATTGTTACAAGCACAACTGGAGGACATTGGAACCAAGTTACATTAGAACCATTGTTACATGTTTCAGGTGAACGTTACATGCTTTGCATTTTCAAGTTGACAAATTTGAAAGACAAGAATTGGAACAACGAATACAGTAAAAAATTATGAAAACAAAAATGAGGCCTGCATTGAAAAACAATCTGTTACAAATTATGAAATGAAGGGAGCTTAAAGAAGCCTCTGGTTCACTCCTTCCTTCCCACTGGTACACCCACCTTCACATCCTCTCGCTTTAGGAGGTAAATAGTGAGCATAGCACTGATTTCTATAGTATCTCCAATGACTATTAGGCCAACGAAAATGATTTGAAATCACAGCATGTTCACTGTTTTTCATATAATGTGTTACCACTTGCAAAGCTAGGTTGCCACATCCCTGGAAGAAGCATCAGCTTTTTTTTTTCTTGTTTCTGCAAGTAGCGTTTATAATCTTAAGTCAACAGATCTGCCTCTACACCAGTGTTACTTTCTTTTCAAGAAACAGTTCAAGTGATTCCCTGTGCAGGAGAGAGATGCTACGGTTCCAACAAGGTTCCTCTATTCCTAACACTTCTTGATTTTTTTTTTCGCTATTACCTGAGAAAAAAGAAAGAAGTATAAAAATTCTGAAGTCAGTTTGTCTTAAAAGTTGGGACATCGGGATCGGTTAGCACAAAACTCAGGTAAGACTGTAAACAAAAGCTTTTTATCAATAGAACAATTGAACCGGAACTGGTGCGAGTGTAACGTCAAAGAGCCCAGTCCAAGTTATTGCATGTTCCTAGGGAAAACCGCATGTTAAAGTGTCACATTCCTGCTCACGCAAAAACATCGTTTTACTGATGGAAGCATTTGCAGCTATAAGATACTGCACTGTGTACACAGTAAACGCTGATTTACATTTAAATTTCGAATTGAAGGAATTAGGGGCTTCTCGTTAACAGTATCTTTTTTCACTGTCAACAGAACACCTCTGTCTGCAAGATTACTTGCCCTCCAATGTAAAAATTATTTTGCGAGTCTACTACTAAACACAATAATTTTATGGGAACCACAATTCTCATAAATCTTTTTTTCAAATAAAGATACCAGTACTGCTGTTAAAACCATTTGTAATGCCTCATCGCCTGTTGATTTTCATTACAGGAACCAATCAGAACGCAGAACAATAATATTGGTTCTCAGGTCTCTTCTCATAATATCCTCAATAATAAGAAAAAAAATGAAAAGATGAAATCCTTCTTATAATCAAACCTTAGCAGATTAAAAAAGTGCAACCTTGCATGTAAAGAACAAACATTACATAAAGCGTTAAAAGACAAAAACAACAATAACTCTCTAAGCAATGACCTAAGAAAGTAATGGAAACCCTGATAAACTTGCTGCCAATGAGCAGTCAGTTTCAGTTCGTGTGGTTGGTGGTTCAAGTGACCCAGGCTGTTTTGAAAGTTTTCTTCCTGGACTGAGAAGTATACATATGATAACAAGCCCTTATTAGGACACATTTTCCAAGTACAAAAAAAAAATAAAATGCAGAAAATGGTGAGTTCAAAGCTTATGTTCGAAAAAAAAAAAAGGAACATAAACTGTAGAACAAGCTCAACAAAAGGTTTAAATGAAAGTACAAATTCTTTATTTTTGCTTTATGAAGAAAGAGTTTCACTTGTGATTGGCAAAAAACTCTGTATCTATACCAAAGTCAACTAAAACCTTTTATTGACAATACAAGGACATGAACACCCTGTGTGCAGACAAAGGAACAAGTGAAATTATGATTGAAAAGCAAAATTTTAACCAGTTTAAATTATGCTGTCTTATCATCTGGCTGGAAACTACCCATCATTTCCTCATGATGGTCAAAAATAGTGCCTCTTCTCCTCGTATACCTCAGATCCCCATACAATAGTTAATTTTTTCTTTCCATTCCTAGAATCACAACAAACACAAAACTAAAAAAAAAGGGTTTTTTTCTTTTGTGAGAGTTCTTTGTGTCAGTTGATGTTTTAAAAAATGTAACATTTAATTGGTGCATTTTGTCACGACAGGATAATTTTTTTGACTTCAACACAGAACATATCCACAATCTGCAAATTCAATGTATATTGCTCTAAGCTTCGTCATGGACTATCTGTGGCTTGTAATCAGGTTTCACAGCTTGAGTCAATGACTCAGCATACATTTCCAACCTCTGAGTCATCTAGGAAATGAAGAGAATAAATTTTAGTGATATCTAAAGAAGTCTGTTTCACAGCAGATTTTTTTGGATGTCAGGCAATGATCTGGAGAGGGAGAGTTGCATGACATCTTTCAGAGTGTAAAGTGAGATGCAAGGGAAAAGTGGTGACCTAGTGGTTGAGGCACTGGACTGTGGATCAATAAGTTCAGGTTCAGACCATGGCCTGGTCATAGTGTTGTGTTTTTAGGGAAGATGCTTCACCCTCACTGTCCCATCTCCTCTCGGCAGTATACAATGGTACCAAACAAACTGCCAGGGACACTTAACAAAATTCTGGGGGGAGGGAGTGGGTTTAACAATGATGTAATAGCATACCATGGTAAGTTGTCCTCCAGGACTTAACCTGAAGTCTGTAGCAGACCCACAGTGATTTTAGTTCCTACAAATAGCAAGAAACCTTCCACCTTACACACCTGAAAACACCAGCGGTCCTTAACTTGTCTGCAATGGTTTAAGTCTACCTCAGTCACAAGGAGGCCATCTTTAACTCTGGATAAACCCTGTGCAAGAAAAACAATACTTATTATAATAAAAAGGTGTAATCTGTCACAAAAATCGTCTCTTAGTCCATGATATTGCTGACCCTTGGATAATCTTGGACCAAACCATCCAATGGGCATTGTGCAATGAGCAAGACTGAGATTGATCTTCAAACAAGGTAAAAAAACTGGCTGCTTACATTCTGAGAAGACTATAAATATATATATATATCACTACCTGTGTCTATCTTTCATTTTGTGTATTCTATTGAAGACTAATAATATAAAAATATAAATCAAAATAGCTCACTGGGGTACGACTGCCATCTGGAGCAGCAACATAAGAGGAACCTAACAATTAAAAGTTAAATATTATGGTCAGACATGGTTCATTATCACCTAATTTAATCATAAAAATCAATTAAATATCAGCAAGTGGAAAACTTACCATAAAAGTGACCAAAGTCCTTGTGAGCTAAGGAAATAAATGGCAAATTTACATAACTAATTGTTATTGTCAAAGTTCATTATTCTTGTACTCCGTTCATCACTTAACACCATAAATGCAACCCTGCCCTTTCAGACCATTTTAAAACATTTCATAACTACAACCAGCAAGGTTTTTGCATTTTGCAGATCCTGTTTTTGAGAGAAACATCCATTTTAAAATGTTTTTTAAAAATATTCTTCCACTCTCATATATCTTACAGAGATCATCTTAATCCTAGTTGCAAAATGAAGATTGGTTAGAAAAGGAAAAGAAAAAAAAATATCCACTTTACTGAGTTATTTTTTTTAGCTACCTGGTTTGCCATCCCCTGAAGTAAATTCATTTTCAAAGACTTCCTATGGATGGCAAAAGAACATGTAAAGAGAAAGCCTTTTATTTTCTCAAATGTAAGGTATGCAATATTACATGGATCTGAAGCACTATGTCTCCTTTCAAGTCTTTCTGACAAAAGCATTTAAGACCTCAAGTCTCTGATTCTCTGAACAAAAAGGGAAGGGCCTTATTCCCACATCTTGGCCTTACATCCCTACCCTCCTGTAAGAGATAAAAACCTGAAGATATTCATCCAATGAAAAGGCAAATGTGAATGTAATGGGACAGTTTTGTTTCTAACAGGGTAAGTGTACTTACAGTTCCAATCCTGTTAATTGCCACAGTGAAGTAATTGTTGGCTATAGATGCACAGCGAGCCTCAATTGGCCACATGGGTTCACTGCAAAACAGATAAGAATATTAGTCTGTAAGCTTACAGTGCAAAAAAAACAAAAAACAAAAAAAACAAACAAAAAAAAAATGTGTGGAAAAGAGGGAGGGGAAAAGGACACTCCCTTACTTGGACTAAAGGGGTATGTGCTAGTGACAGGGTAGGATTTTAAGACCTTGATGGGATAACCCCACAGGAGTTTCCCTTGAGTGCCCTTCCCCATCAAAAGAGACTGAAACCTGAGCTCAAAAAGACACATATACCTTAAAGCACCTACAGTTGCTGAAGGATTAAAGCAGATCTCAGCACCATTTATCGCATACATTAGCCAGTTTAGTGGGTGGTGACGACCATAACAAATATTCACTGCAATTCGACCTGCAGAGGAGTAAAAAAAAAAACAAAAAAACTCTGAAAGGCCCTTCAAGTTTGATTAAGATTAACAAGAAACATTTTTGGGAGATCCAATACCATCCATAAACATAAATCATTTGATGAAATTTGAAAAAAGTGAACCTCACCAAACTGTGTCTGGAACACTGGGTGTCCTGTATCTCCTTCCATGTAGTAGGTTGACTATTTACAAATTAAAAAAGAAATGACAAATGCTAAAGTTTTAGAGCTTACCTGTTTTATTCATGTAAATTTTATGAGACTACAGAGCTTTCCCTCAGGATATTAGTGGATCTGGGAGGATTTCATGTAGGACCCTGTTTAACCAGTTTGAAATTATTTAACCATACAAATAGTAATAATGAAAATTCTTGTACCTCATTAAAATCTCCAATTCTAGGAATGTGATTTTTCCTTGTTTTCCCAAGGACAGAGCCATTGTTGGAAATTATCACTGAAAAATGTAAGATTTTGTTTGGATCAAACAATGTCTCGCAACAAATTGACTTTAAGGAAATAATATTGCTGGACTAGATCACTTTGACAGATGAATTAGTTATCAAAGTTTAAAAAATAATTAATTTTTCATGAAATTTCTTATTATTGTCAAGCATTGCCATCAACTATACATGAACCAAAGTTGGTTCACAATGTAACTAGATTTGTGCGACAGTTGCCTGAACAAACACTGCAATAAGTGCACTGTTATATCATAGTCATTAACAGTGATGTAGAGATGGTTGATTAAACTAACATGTAAAAGTTGATTAAATTTTTGCACTCTTAAAAATCAATAAACATAATAAGATCACAGCAATACCAATTTAGAAATTTTTAAGTACCTGTTGTATTGAATATTTTGTCCTGATGTACACTGTCTCTTTCCAAAATTGGAGACACTATGACCATGTTGTGCTGTTTGGCAAGCTGGTAAAACAAATAAAGGAAAGAATTAAGAGGAAATTGAAGCCATGAGAGGCAAGTGAAACTAATTACTGGTATTATAGTTAATGACTATCCAGAAAATATCAATCATCATTGTTTCCAGGGGGTTTCAATAAGATAAGGTAGAAATAGGTAGTTTTGAATAACAGGCAGGTAGTTTTCAAGGGCTGGAGAGCCTCCTGCTTCCAAGGAAGTCCAAACTCTGCTGGAAAATTTTGGAATTCTAGACTGTTGCAATTGTATTTTGAGGTGTATTCCAATTTATGTTGCTTCATTTTTCCTTGGAGTCAACCAATTTGAACAAATTTAAAGAGAAATACTCACATGTTGAGAGTGCAATGACATTTATGCACTGGTTATCAGCAGGTAGCAAGCACTTTACAAGCAGATACATTTACTTACTACCTAGCTACCAGAGAGCTGTACTGTTTCTAATAACCAAGATACCTTTCTTGTTCCTCCTGGCTGACCAAAAGCCTGAAGCAGTACCCTAACATACCTCTTGGCAGAGTTTAATAGTTGGCCCATCATCTGCTGACTCAGCAAATTCTGTCCAAGGGTGCTTTTCACGGGTGCAAAAAGCAAATGGCATGGCTGATAAAAACAAATTGGAGGATGTAATATCAGAGAAAAAATAATATTCTAAACCTAAAAAGAGCCAAACTAACAGCTACAAGAAGCAATGTAATAATTGTCGTTAAATGTAAAAGGAATAGGAGATGCAGAACTACTTAAGGAAAAATTTAAAGATTTTATTTATTCTCTATCATTAAAAGTTCTTCTACCACCAAGCAGGTGCCTATTTGGAGTCGCTTGTACCTGACAAATAAGACAACACAAACTATATTGTCAATCTCCAGTTCCCTTACTGCACAGAGCCTATAACAACCTGAACAAGTCAAGTTAAGGCAGGTGATGATTACTTATAGGTACTGTATTTCTTGTACCCTTACTCTTCGATGTCTCTCTATATCTCCAGCCCTTGTACTCATGTCAATCATCATTCTCTTTATATGTAGATTTACAAGAGGTTTGTAAGGACACAATCAGATATATCCCACCCTTAGTTCTAATATAACTTACTCCAACATTCTTGAAAACAGATGATGTTGACTCCACACATGGCTGCAGCCTCAGTAATTTCTTTTATTCTTGCATGGAGAGCTGACAGCTACACAACAAAAGAACAATAAATTGTAAATACCACAACAAAAATAGTTTGAAAACAGCACAATCACCAGAGGTGAGGTAACTTTCTTTTAGGGAAACAACACCTAATCTAATACTTGTAACTACAATAATTATTATTATCCATGGAGCAACTGTGGTTTTATTGAGTTGATGAGGAGTGATTTTAGAAGACATTAACCCTTTGGCTTCCAAGAGTGACCAGTATCTAATTTCTCCTTACAATATCACCCCTGAATCACACATTGAGGTCACAAGAATAAAGGAAATGATCGACAAGCTCCTTACCTGACTTGCCAGTGGTGCAGATGTAGGCAGCACTATTTTGTTCTGTACAGCCCCTATTCTAACTATTCGAGGTCTGCGCATTTGCTCCTCTTGGACATCAAACTTGTATCCTGCCAGTTCAAAGTTTCCATGTGCAGCCATTTTTAGTGCCCCCTCAGGTAGCTCTAATTTACTGTTCAAAAAAAATAAAAATCTATACATTAAAAACAATTAATAATTAGATAATAGATTTTTAACTAAGTCTTGTCCTGGAGGAGATGAAATGGTCAACTCTTTACATCCTAGCATCAGTATTCATATTCTCTGTACTGTTTTATAAAGTTTCCTATGGTGCTGACAAAGAGAATTTGTCTAACAATCAAGAACTTAATTCATAAGTGATCAGTTCCTTTATTCTCCTGACCTTTATGTTTGATTCAGGGGTGATATGGTAAGGAGAAATTAGTTGCCAGTCACTCTTAGGGGTTAGTGGATTAAGAATTCGGATTGAAAGGTTGATTTTTCAACCCTAGCTAGGGTCATGTTGGTCAAGGTTATAATAACCCAATAGGTAACCCTGATGAAATGCTAGAACTAGCATTCCACCTAATAAGGAAGGGGGGCAGCAAAACTCCTAATAGCTTCATGCTACAGAAATCAAAAAAGGCCACAGTTGCTTCATGCTACAGAAACCAAAAAAAGGCCACATTTGCTTTGGGTCACTTGGCATATGTGCAGGACTGTTTAACCCTTTGAGGTGCTTAACGTGTAACTTCTCCCTACAATAACTATACATTATCAAGCAAAACTGTAATGAGAACACTCAAACTTATCAGGTAGAAGTTGCTATCTTGATCCAACACCAAATTTTTGTAACTAATTTATATGGAAATATGTAGCAGCTAGAGGGAATAACTGACAATCAGATCTTGGGAGTTAAACGGTTTGGAAAGAGACAACTCCACAGGATTGATAGGGGTCACTTAATCCTTATTCCCACTTCCTCAAGACACGCAGAAATCAGAACTCCTGATTTTTGTCAAGGCCCTCAGAAAATGGAACCTTTTATTGTCTTCACCCTTGGAAAATTGTCATCAGCGTCCAAATCCTGTCAGCTTCAAGTAATGAGTCCAAATGTTCTTGGCTTGTAACATCTATGTTTTGGAACGTCGCGAGGTGTACGCACCGTGGGACCGGGGGGCGCAGGGGGTGATTGCACGTAAAAATATTGAAATCACCAATTGTCCAGGAAAATTGTTCCAAAGTATTGCTGAAAGTCTTCTGTCGGGCGCAATCGTCTCGATCAGCCAAGCTGACCAATGGATTGACCGCTGTCCTACAATCTTCTAGAGTGCGTTCGACTTCCACGCGACTACTTCCAGACAAAGACACTAAAAAAGCTTCACTGGTAAAGTGATCTCGACTGAAATATACAACTTACCTTACTGGCTTTCCATATAAAATTCTCTTCACCTCTTCTAGCTCCTTCGGTGGAAGATGTTTTTCCAAGCAACTCTCCAGACTTGTAAACTCAGCCGCCATGTTGAACTAGCTCCGATGACCTTCAATGACCGAAGTTTCATCCGTGGAAGTCTGAATAAAGAAACAGCAACTTCTACCAACTAGAGTAGGGTAAGTTTAGGGTTCTTTTATTTCAGTTTTGTTCTAAAACATTACTAATATGTTAACATTCCGTTCTTCTCAGGAGTTTTTACTTATAAGAGGATCAAGTTGATTGCAGTTTGCTGCAAATAAATGACATCAATTTCTAACGTCTCAAAATCTACATTTACCTACCCTCCCCCAAGCAGATAGTGTAACAACGGCGGGTTGACATCGGATGATGCGGCGTTAGGGCAATTCTCAGTGAAAAAAAAAATGCTATTCTTACAATTTTTCCAGCAATGTTTTACACGAGAGAGAATTATGTGTCCAGAGTGATTTCTCTTACCGGTTGAAGAAGCCCATTTAATTGTTAATGAATTACATTTAGAGAAATTTTCTGACAAATCCCATAGGGCGCTGGCATTAATTAAGTGACGTGGCGCGCCAAGTTACGAAATTTTGCAAACAAGTTTTGAAATATTTGTTGAAAGACCATAACGTTGCCTAGACAGCATAAGACAGGCAAAGTTTCGGGAAGACAGAGCTATCCTTATCTATAAGAACAGCTCGGTAGTTCCTAGAAACGCGTATTTTTGTGATTTATGTCTTCTGATACAAGCGGAGATTCGAACTCGATGGCTTCCGTGCGAGAAGAGAAACCTAAATGTATGTGGAAGCCAAATGCAGATCAGTCGACCAACATTGGCGATTTCCAGTCAGTTGTGAATCAGACATTTGGCTTGAATTTAGGTGAGTACAGAAGTCATTTTAAAATATGAACCTGTAATGTAGCAGAAATTAAGAAAATCACTCTATTTGCACTTACAGTAACAGCGAGATTTGTTGAACTGAATAGTAAGTCATCTTTGATTTTCTCTTCAGTTTGGCTATTTAATTGGTCGAGTCGCTTTATAATTTCCATTTTATAGCCTTTAGTTAATTTTAATTTTCATCGTTAGTTAAGCTACTGTAAGATACTGTAATCAGAGAAGAAACACACCCCTTGACACACCCATTTTCACCACCACCCTCCCCGACATACCGCCAGATGCTGCTTCAGTTTAGCTTCAGGGGAATTGATTGAATAATTTCAGGAATAGTCGAAAAAATACAATGCAATTTCTATGTAGTTTTCAATTTTCAATCAGTTCTATACCATGAAAAAGTCTTGAAGTTAAAACACTGATCTCCTGATTCTGTTTAACACACTATTGCATATGATTTTGCTTTTCTTTGAATCCATACAGAAACTTATGAGGAGCTGCGTAAGTGGAGTGTCAATCAACATACAGATTTCTGGGAAATGTTTTGGAAATTTGCCGACATTATCCACTCCCATCCATATGATGAGGTATCAGATTTTTCTATCATATCTTTTGTTGTTCCAAGTTGCTAGATGAGGAAAAATGTTCAATAACACCCTATTTGATCTCCTATTTATAGACAAATAAAATCAATTACAGGTACTTGTGGCATATTCAAGAACACAACTTGGAAAGCACCCTTAAACAAAACTGACTTGTTGATTTCATTTCACTGGCAAACTTTGGGAGTAAGATGAGATATAAGAATCTCATTGGCTGTTTTAACCCTTTAACTTCCATAAGTGACCAAAACAGAATTTTCCTCTACAATAGCAATGCAATATCAGTTTCATTTTTTTAATAAAGGTTTTAGATGAGTCTAAACCAATGGAAGAGGTTCCAGAATGGTTCCATGGCGCTCACCTTAATTTTGCAGAAAATCTTCTACGCTTTGATGATGAGAAAGTTGCTTTGTACACTGCAGGTGCAGCTAAGTGATAAGTTTTTTTTTTCACCAAAATACCAAGATAAATTCCTTCATCTTGAGCTCATATAAAATTTTGGAATTCATTGTGGTTAAGAGAACTGTAACTTGTCCTCCTCCTAATCAAAACATCAGTCTTTAGCAGTGAACCCCCACCCTCCTCTCTTCCAACATTTTTTTCAGGTTGTGATGCCCTTTCATATTCTCCCAAGTGAGAGGAGTGTGATTAGGGTGTGATTGGGGGTGGAGGGGGGTGTCAGGGAGGCCTGCCCTCTTACCACAATTTGCCCTCTTATCACAATATATTTAGCCACAGACAGTCAAAATATTGAGGATTCATCTCTATTAATCTTTTGCAGGAGAAGGGCAAGAGGTCAAGACCATAACCTTTCATCAACTAAGAAAGAGTGTGGCATTACTAGCTTCTGCTCTGAAAAATCTTGGTATTAAGAAAGGAGATAGAGTTGTTGGTATGTACGAAGGCGCAAATTAACCTCTTAGAAAAGAACACAAATCAGTGACTCTAGTTATGACTGAAACCCTCTCTAATGGTCCTTATTTAACCCTTTCACTCCTAAGAGTGACTAACATCTAATTTCTCCTTGCAATAACTCCCCTGAATCAAACATTAAGGTCACAAGAATAAAGGAGATGATCACCAACTTAAGAAGCTCTTGATTGTTGAACAAATTCTCCTTGCCAGAACCTTAGAAAATGTCTAGTATTTGGTATGTTGGGGAGTAAAGGATTAATGTGTTTGGACTTGAGTCAGAAAAACTGAGTTGCATGCATGAAATTGAGGCCTATAAACTTTTCATATAAAATGAATTTCAGAAAGCAAAAGCAGTTTTTTGTCATGGCTTAATTGGTTCTATTTGGCTTTTGTTCTTGTAGTAACTTTCCACTAGAATATGTTTTTTAGTGAATATTAATCTCTATTAATATTAATCTAGACATCAATAACTGAGAGGTCTGGACTGGGTACAGGCGGGTTACATATTAGTCCTTTCCTTAACTGTTTAACTCCCAAGATCTCATTAGTAATTCTCCAAACAAATTATTTCTAGCTTCTGTAAAGCTTGACTTTGGCCATTGTAGGCAGTTCTTCTTGTTCATGTCCAGATGTACTGGGCTAGGGGCCATTTCTTGGCTCATGTTTTTACTAACTCTTTGTCTCATTTTGCAGGTTATATTCCCAATTGTGCCTTAGCTGTTGAAGCCATGTTAGCTACTGCAAGCATTGGAGCTATTTGGAGTTCTACTTCACCAGATTTTGGTGTTACGGTACTTATGAACAATCCACATGTCTCTTTATCTCATATTTTTCAAGTTATGATGAAAAATTTCTGGGCCAAGTTTTATCACATTTTACTTGAATTTTGAAGGGCCAAGGATCAGTGTTACATTAGCTACTGTTTTTTTTTTGCAGGGTGTGTTGGACAGATTTAGTCAAATCAAACCAAAGGTTATTTTCTCAGTAGATGCAGTCAGATACAACAACAAAAGTCACAACCATTTGGAGAAGTTAACTCAAGTAGTGAAAAGTATGTCATGTCACAATACTTAGACCTAAGGGGGGTGAGTATTTAGGTATGTGCCATCTCACAGGGTGTGATTTTTTCATGTCTGAATATGGCCACTCAGCAAGAGTTCTAAGCAGCCCCCCCTCCCCCAAAACCAGGGTAGTGACTGATACTGGCCTGATCAGAGGCAGTGTTGCTTCAGTAAATCCTTCAATAGAGGAAATGGGAGTTGATTGTCTTCTATATCACAAAGTGATCCTGACCTAAGCTTAATTCTTGTCTACATTTTCTTTATGGATTAGCGGCATTTATAAATGAGTGAAGTACATGTTACTTAAAACCAACAGTAACTTTGCTGAGCTCAGAGGTAACAGTCAATAAACTGCTACTCTTTGGGTAGTTATTTCATAAAAGTAATGATGATGATTAGTAGTAAATAAGGATGTTGATAGCAATGGTGCCGTTATCATGTATATGAATGTGTTTTATATATCTCTGAAAATTTTTTTAATGCAGGTCTTCCCGAGCTAGAGAAAGTAGTTGTGATGCCATTTGTTGGAAAAGCAGATGACATTGACCTCTCTGGAATCCCAAACAGGTATTTTGTGTCCTCTTTTGGCTGTTGTAGATGAGCTGTTTCTTCAGATTTCCTTGATGCTAGTTTGGCTGAGCCTGAGCAACCAATAGTTACATACATGTGCTTCTGGGGGGGGGGGGGGGGAGAGGGGGAAAGGGGGAGGAAAGAGGAAAGAGAGGTAGGGTGAAAAATGTTTATCAAATATTTTGGGTTTCTTGGTCTCTTGATCTCAGTTTTTTTGCAAAGCTGTCTCACAATCTCAAATTTGTTGTTGAAATCGTAAAAAAAACTATAGCTTGTGGCTAAAGTACCATAATGATATTCTTCTTATCTTATGGTCCACTAAAAAACAGAGACATCAAAATCAATAAATTGGTATAATTCATATAGTATATAACTGCACCACCAGCAAACTTGACCTTTAGGGGAATCTTTAATCCTCATTTGTTGTGATAGCCATTTAATAGGTCTGAAAGTCATTTGACAATCCTTGCTTCCTTCTTACAAGTGTGTTGTTGGATGATTTCAAAAAATTTGCTGATGAGTGGCCAGTTCTAGAGTTTGCACAAGTTCCCTTCAATCATCCCCTCTTCATCATGTACTCATCTGGAACAACTGGTCCTCCAAAATGCATGGTGCATTCTGTTGGGGTAAGTAAAAGCTTTTCAATTTTCTTTTGCCACTCAAAAATGTTTTGCCATCTTAAACAAAAGCAAAAATAAAATTTTCTTGGACTTTTTCTTCAAGGGAACTCTGATCCAGCATCTGAAAGAACATATCCTTCATGGGAACATGAACAGAGAAGATGTTATCTTTTATTACAGCACTGTAAGTGATATTAATAAGATTTGCAAAATATAATTCCATTTATCTTTTACTTCTGTAATCATCGATAATTTCTTTCTAGGTCTTGGGCATTAATTTTCCAGACCAATCACAAAGTGTAGTGAAGCAAAACAAATGCATCCCAGATCACTTTTGATGTCCAATTGAAAATTAGATCAATTAGTTCAAAGTGTGATTAGTATGTTGCTGTGTTAGTTTGTCTTCAGTCTTACTAATAAAATCATGGGGATATTGATCAAATGAAGCCTTTAAGTGCTACTGTGGTTCTTTCTTTATTCACTCCGAGCTTTTGCCGTTCTACGGCATCATCAGGGAGGATGATAAAATATTTGCACTATGGTTTTAAACGTTGGGGGTGCCACTGTAAATTAGCATAGTGTAAAACTAGCCAGTACGGAGCGTATTACATCAGAAAGCACAAGCCGGGACTAATAAAATCATCATTGTACATTGATCCCAATAGACAGGTTGGATGATGTGGAACTGGCTGGTGTCTGCCCTTGCTGTTGGAGCCTCTGTCGTGTTGTATGATGGATCACCTTTTATTCCTTCACCAAATGTCATTTGGGACTTAGTCGACAAAATAGGGTGAGATGAATGGCAATGAAATTTGGTGAACTGTAGAGCACTACCATGCATGCACTGCAGGCACCATGTACTGAATCATCATAATTTTTTACTGACAACCCCCTAAGAAGTTCCCTGTTTTAAGCTTTGAACCCCCCCCCCCTTCTCATTTTCTCTTTCCCCTGCCCATTAATTAGAAACTATGAAATATCAATTGTAATGTTATTCAATGGGTCTACAATGAAGTTTTGGATCAATATCAGTATCCCTACCCCTCCCCTAACCCAACATTAACCCTAACTTGTTATCAATTGACTGTTGTTGAGTTAGGGGAGGGGTAGGTGGGCAGTTGCCCAGATACTGATATTGATCCGAAGTTTTTAATAAGCACCTGAGGCTCATTGGAGAGTGACAGCATTTACAGTAAGGTTTACACTGATATCCAACATCATCATAATTAGAGAAAGATTTTTTTTTATCTTGTCACAAGCGTGGAACAAAGAAAAAATTCTGAATCCCCATGTGGAATTGAACCTCAGACCTTCGGATTTTGCGCTCTGATGCGTAATTAATGAGTAGAAATAAAAATTGACTTCACCAGCTCAGATCACTCATATGTCATCTCGAACAACACAGTTTTTCGTTGAAAGTTCTGGCTGGCTCAAGATTCAACTCATATTAAATAAGTTGTTGCTATTCCACCTAACTAGAATAACCATTTTGGGAACTGGAGCCAAGTGGTTGTCAGCTTTGGAAGACAGGGAAGTTCACCCAAGTAAGCTATAAGGCCGTCCGATATTGCTTGTTTTTGTTAGTTATTTATGAACTTGACATCTTAATTTTGGAGCCATCTAATTATTAGCCATGCCATGACGATAGCTGCTAATGTGGTAGCTTATATACCTGTTTGTTTATGGAAGTCAAAAACTGCATAATAATTTTATATAACATATTTTCCCTCTTTTAGTTAAGACGCATAATCTAGCACGTTTACACACGATACTGTCAACGGGCTCCCCCCTGAAACCGGCCAGTTATGACTACGTTTACAACAGTATAAAGCACGATGTACTCCTTGGTTCTATCTCAGGTGAGCCTAAAGCTATTTACTGACTGCTATTCTGTAGAGAGATATTAAGAGCTAAAAAGAGCTTTTCCGGGGTGCGGGATTTGTTAGCAGCATGGCAGGTAGCGGGATTTAGATTAAGTGAGCTGCCCGTCACTTACAATACATGTATCTGTATGTGGTCGTGCTTTTTTTTTAACGGGAGTGCGGGAGGGCTAAAGGTTTAAATGGGTATTAGCGGAATAGGGAATAGAACTTAAATTACAGTGCGCAAATATAAGGATTTGTAAGGTTGATGATCATCGATATGTCGAGAATGCAGACGTGGGGTAAGACTTGTGCGTTGTGGTCTTGATTTTCACGTGACCTATAATTGCCAATTCTTGTCCCTGTAACCGATGATTTTTATTCTGCGGCATGAAGGGACTTGGAGTATAACCTGCAGAACAAGCGGTTGTATCGATAAAGATGTTTTATCGTCTTGTCACGAGCGTGGGACAAAGAAAAGAATTCCGAGTCCCCAATGAGGAATCGAACCTCAGACCTTCGGATTCCGGGGAAGAGGCAGGGCGAAAAAATTGACACATTTTTCCACGCGAGTCTCTTCCCTCGCGCTCGCCTCGCGCTCGCCTCGCGCTTGCCTCGCGCTTGCCTGAAGAACGTACCGAAATGACGCCTGTCGTGCACACTAGTTGGAGTATGTTTACTTCTCCTGGATGTGATGTAAGTCCATCACAAGTAACCTCCTAGCTTTTCCTCTGGTCTCCTGAAATTTCTTAATGATACCAATTTCTTGATCTTGATTGAAAAAAGCGGGGCTTTGAAAGGAGAGGGTCTTTACCTAAGACTTGGCTAGGGCTCGAACTCAGACCTCTCGATCTGAAGTCCAAACCACCAGGCGACTGCTCATTCTGATTGCCGAACTAACATTTTTAATTTTTTTTTTTAAATTTACAGGGGGCACAGACATTATTTCATGTTTTGCCGGTCAAAATCCAACTGTCCCTGTATACCGTGGAGAAATTCAAACAAGAAACCTTGGAATGGCCGTGGAGAGCTGGAACCACGACGGTAAAAAATATCACTGATTTCCTAACATTTTGTTCTTGTGGTTTTACGTACCATGCGAACAGCGTGGATAATCAAAATTCGTTTCACGACTCCGACCTCTCGGGATACAGGTGCGACGTTGCAAAGGTTTCGAAAAGTCGTCTTGTTTACTTGTGATCGGAGGATTTCGATCCACTTTGTTTGTTTTTGCACTTTTATGTCCGTTACAATAATGATTGACAGCGGCACGAAATTGAATCACAAGTTTGTCATTCTGTCTCAGATTTCGCATGTTTCTCACAAGGACAGTAATTTTCCATTTTACTTTCTCATCTTTTCTTTTGCGGATCCCTGGTCTGTGATCATCTTTTGGATTCTGTTCTCTGACGTCGTCTTTCTGTCCATGTCTAAGTAGTAAACTATTGATTTGTCAAAAGTGTTCTTCGCTAAAAAGCCGGAAAGCTTGGGGCTTAGTTTACGTAGCAGCCAGACTTGTCACGCACACTGTCACACAAGTTCAAGTTCAAGTTCGAGTTCTTTAAGGCCAAGTTCAAGTCCAAGTTCACGTTCTTTAAAGCCAAGTCCAAGTTCAAGTTCAAATTCAGTTCTTTAAGGCCAAGTTCACTCGATCCGTAGATGTGGATGACGTTTGACTCGATTTTCTTGACGGCTTTTTTTACATCTTCTCCTCGGAATAAAAGCGACTGCAATCAGCCAATCAAATGATGGGAATTCGCATGACAACCCGTGATAAGTTAGGGATTAACACCTGCGACCTGTCAACTGGCCACTTGTACCATTCCCCTCAGTCAAACGGAAAGAGAGGATAGTGGAACCACACTGTGATGGAGCTGGCTGACTGGCTGAACCACTTGGATTTACGTCATAGTGTAGCTAAATACAGGATCATTTGTGTACATTATATGGAGACAAGAAGATCACGCCATTACTCGTGATCCAACAGCCAATAAAAGAAAATTTGCTCGTCCCGTTCACCTGAAGTTATTGAAGAGTGATGGAGCATGGAATTTTAAATTGTGAGCGTTGACCAATAAATAAATCGCGAATTTCTCTTCGTGGTCAATTACCAGGCTCTCATTTTGCCATATCTCGCGCTACCAACATCATTGTTTTGCGTTTTTCCAGCGCTTGGAAAAACTGGCGAGTGCTTGGGTCGTACTCAACGCGCACTTACCTCGCGCTCGCCTCGCGCTACCTCCCGCAACCTTGTCCTGCAAGCTAAGTTTGCCTATATAAAGTTGGTCTGTGGGAATTACAGAAAACTATTTTTCTTACTTTGTTCATGATTTCTTCTGAACTCAGGTGAAGCTGTATATGATCAGAGCGGAGAGCTGGTTTGTACCAAACCCTTCCCTTGTATGCCTATTTACTTTTGGAATGACCCTCAAGGCCTCAAATACAAGAAAGCCTACTTCAACAAGTTTGTGGGTGAGCTTCAAAATAGCATCTACATAGAGATTATGTCAAACTGATAAGGTATGGAAGTCAGTATGGTTAGTCATGGGAGTTGAGGCAGCAGCTGATTTTAAACCAATTCTCGTACGTCATTCCGTACGGCCTGGTTACTAAGTTGTTCCCCAAAAATTGTCGAGTTTGAGCGCCTAAGAAGACAACTTTTGAACGTTTAATTACTCAATGGAATCCCAAAACGCAGTATGTTACTGAGATGAAAATTAAATGGTTTCTAGACCAACTTCCTTTTAATTTCTTCTGCCTTTTTTTTTTGGCGGTAGGTGTTTGGACGCACGGAGATTTTTGCTCAATCAACTCATCTACCGGCGGAATTCTTATGCTGGGGAGAAGGTAAAAATGCATGTGATAACGTGAATGAGACGGCGTCTACTTTTAGTCTCAATTCGGTTTCCTGTGGACAGTTCTTCGCTAGCTATTATATAAACAAAACTATTTTACCAATTTGCTTGATGAGTTTTTCCCGGTTACTCAGTTGGCGATATGTCGATGTTAATATCTTGAGTATGGACTGTCTTGACGTGGCGGAAACGTAGAACCATTTTGTGCTACTGCTTAGGCACACAGAATTTACATTGCTGTCTGAAGTCAATCAGAGCATTGGAACCCTCTCGTATATCGTTATCTTTGTATCAACTCAAGACAGTTTTGTGAATGTTTCTTTTCAAGCTAGAATTTAAAAAAACTCGATTCCCGGGTTGATACACGCGTACGCGATAAACGCCAAACCAACATAGAATCCTTTCTTTCTTTATTCCTTGTGGCGTTCTTCTATCGAAGCGGTCAACTGAAATCATTACGTGATGAAATTACCTAAATATTGTATGATCTTAGCTTAAGAATAATCTCAATTTTGGAAACGAGCACGTGACAATTAAAGATCCAAAAGAAAAATAAAAAAACAAGCGATAAGTTTCCCTTTGAATAACAACTACGAGTTAACATAATCACAAAACAAGTTGTTGCTTACCAACGTTCGTGGGTCTTGATTACTTTATCGAGGATCACGGTCTAACTTGTCTTCTATTCAAAAAAAGATCTTGATCACACGGGGTCTTATCCTGAACTGAAACGCTAACTATAATTTTCTGTCTTAAAAAGAACTAAACACGCAGGCGTCGATCTAACCAGAAAATATTTCGCAGCTTCTCTCGGAGGCGGTAACATTTAGCTTTAACGGAAGCGGTTAAAAGTTTTGATTAACCCCTTTAACCTCAAGGGGTGAACAGCATCTAATTTATCCTTACAGTAATGCTGCCGAATAAAACACCAAGGTCGCGAGAATAAAGGAAGTTATCACTGTCTTAAGAAGCTCGTAATTGCGAGATAAATTCTCCTTGTCAGCACCTTGGGAAGTGTTAAGAGAGAAAATGGAGAACACACAAATTGATCGTGGTCAGGGACCAAAAGGGCTACGATGCAATTTTGACGATCAGTCTCAACTTGATTGTTGGGTGTTGTTGTTGTTTCAGTGATGGCACCCTCAACCCAGCTGGTGTGAGATTTGGGAGTGCGGAAATTTATAATATTGGTGAGGAATCTTGATTTTTCAGTAGGGGAAATCGAATGGCAATATACAGTGATGGTCGCTGGGCAACTTTTTGTCTGCACTGAACCGTTGATTCGTTTGGTTCATGCCTTTTTCCCACTTTAGTAACAAGATCCTGGCTAATTTCAAGTTTTTGGAAAACGTTTCCTATTTACTCCCACGGCGCTCTTGACAGTACTGATCTTAGTAGTATTCAGGGCGTGTATCACATATGAACCATGAAATGACCTCGCTCATCAGAGATTTCACTGTGGTTCAGTGGTAGAACATCAGAGCGCGGAATCCGAAAGTTTAGGGTTCAATTCCTCCTGGGCCCAGTTGTTCGAAGGCCGATTAGTACTAACCCAAGGTTAAATTTTAATCGGGTTGTTTACTTCTTTGTTCAAGAGCTTATTTTGGATTATGTTCCCCACTCTTTTTAAAGCATCCAATGATCAAATTGTGGACGCAAACAGTTATACTGAATTATGTTTTAAAACTTTCATACCCAGAATAATTTGGATTATGAATATTGTGGTAGAATCTCCCATAAAAAGTAAATAACATAGTCGATCAATTGTACTTCGGCTGACATTAGACTGTTGCGTTTTTACCTGATCTGTTGTAGTTGAGAGATTCGAAGAAGTGGAAGATAGTTTGTGTGTTGGTCAACAGACGAAGGATGGAGAACGGGTGGTTCTTTTTCTGAAGATGAGCAACGGATTCAGGTCGGAAATAATACTTTAACCCTTTAATTCCCAAGATCTCATAAGTAATTCTCCTAACTATCTGCCATACAGTTCTTGTGATATTAGTTTGCAGAATTTGGTATTGGATTAACTTATAATCCCCTTACTGATTTTTTTCTTTATTCTCATCACTTGTCTGCTTGATATTGTATTGATATTGTAAGGGGAAATTCTCTCTTGGTCACTCATGGTAGTTAAAGGGTTAAATAATGCTTCGTAATGAAAGAAAAGAGGATTGTAGATTGATAGAAGAGAAAATTCGTGGGTTACGTCGAAACAGGAGAAAAACGAAACTTTAGTACAAGAAAGTAACTAATGAGAGCGTATGGAGATAAATTGAAATTAATCGGCAGAGGAAATTGAGATTATTGTTCAATGTCAGTGCGAACATCTTGCTTTAAACATTAGCCAGCCATCTCCTCTTGTGAGTTATTTTAAACACTGTTATGATACAGCAATATTCAATTGGTTGTCGTAGGTTGCCCAAGATTGCATAGGGATTAGTCCAGAAAACTCGCGCCAGACTTTCAACCAATCAGATGCCGTACTGAAACTAATCGTGGCTTAGTCACCCGCGTTTTCCTGCGCTCCAGGCAGTTTTTTTTAAGTTTGAGCTCTCATCGTTTCTTGGGGGTATTTTTATTCGCTTTAAGTGGCCATTCTGCCTGCGTTGGTTTTACGATACTCAGTCGAAAAGCTCTCTATGAGAACAGTGTACGTGTTACTTATAATTCGTAAAGGGAGAGTTGACAGAATAAAATTCACTTGAAGATTACTCCTTCCCAACATTTAGCTTTTCAGCCATTTTCCCAAACTCTTAATTTCACTTTAAGATTTAACGAGGAGCTTGTGGCGCGCGTGAAGTCTACGATCCGACAAAGGCTGTCTGCCAGACACGTCCCAGAAATTATCCTGGAAACAAAAGAGATTCCTTACACAGCAAGTGGGAAGAAAGTGGAAGTTGCTGTCAAACGGATACTTGCAGGAGAACACATCAAAAACAGAGGAGCTTTAGCAAACCCGAACTCCTTGGATCTTTACTATGGCATAGCTGAGCTCAATCAAGGATAAAATTTATAAATCCATGTCTAAGAACACGCTTCATCTAACTTGAAAACAAACAGACAAACGCTCGAGTGAAACTAACATGTTAAATGTGTCAAACTCAAAATGTATCAACCATGGGCCGTGGTGGGAAATTTTTTAAAACCTTTCAGGGATATTGGAAGCAAGTCAGCGCAAGCAAAAATTGTTATACTAAAACTCCTTTTCCAGACATTTTAAGCAATCCAGTCAAGGAATTATTTCCGTGCTCTCCGATACTTTCCTGGTTCTTCAAACACAATCATATATTCCAAATCAAATCACAAAGAAAAAAAATTTATTTTGAATTTTTCTGAAATTTTTATGGGCCGACTGATGCCCCAGTAAATGACGTGTTCGGGCTCACGTGACTAAGGAAACCATCTCACTGCACCACATGTCACCCCAATATGTTTCGAAAAGCATCTATTCGCAAGAAATTGCACGCTTCTTTTACATAAAGAAAATCAGGGATAAGTTATTTAATTGTCGAAAGCGGGCACTGTGCCACTTTTGATTTTTAAACTTTAATATGTTATTGCACAGTTAGCTAGATTTTAATCCAAAGGTAAAGAAAGTATTTATACAGAAGTAAATATTTTTAGTCACAGTGGGTATATAGATAGTGCAGTACACATACCCGATGCTAAAGCTTTGTTTTATTTGAAGGTTGGGAACTATTCCTTTAGTAGCATGACTTGGAATCAATAAATTTATTTTATTTTTAACAAGGTCACGATGAATTATGCGCTATAATTCCCTTTGAGGTGAGATTTCTGCTAAGTCAACTTGAAATTCGGCACCTCGTAAAAGTACCTCTGAAAATTTCCTGTCTTTAAGGACACAGCGAACACGCTATGGAATTCCTTTTTCGAGTTGCGCTTGCTGGCTCATTTGATGTCTTTGTATGGTATTAGATAAAAGGGAGCAGAGAGAAAATTAAGGTAAATGTTGCTTCTCTCCTCTTGTTTACGACAGAATAAAAACATCGTGAACAGCTCTAAACACGAACGCTTTTGAGCTAGGAGCGGAAATCTCTGTTGTGCTGAATCCTCTTTTCTTCAAACAATGAACGAGGAAATCCAGGTGTTAGCACTTACGAAGTTAGAATGTTGGATCGACTTTTAAAATTGCTTTCCTGTTTAAGTTAAGTTCGCTTGCATGATCAATATGAGACACTCAGTATTTGAAGGTAAGATGTCCTCTTTGCTTTGCCCTCAGCCTTACCTTGAGTGACTGATCCTAAAGTTGGAATGATCCCTTCCCTGAACGTGATTTGGCTTAAAATTTATTTGAGTCGCTGTTGGCTGGCTAGGGGAATGGCGATGCTATCGAAAATTGTCTTATTTCTTTCCAGAACTAGTGTTGTTACCTTCATTTCTAAGACAGAAGGTTGGTAAATTTAGTTAGCAGATTGGGCTTGTAGCGGTCAAAGGTGATTCAAGGGCTAGCAACTACACTCATTGGAAGCTTGTTACATGATATGTGGTAGGATCTTTCAAAGCGTTATCTTCGTCTTGATATACTACATCCTTGATGAAAAAGGGAAATTTCGGCTGGAATGAAAGCACCCATTAAATTGCTGTCATGTCTAGAATTCCACTTATCTCTTAGGGGATCTCCGAATGGGCGGGTTTGAGGAGGAGCGCAAAAGAAATGAAACAGGCGAACTTTGGATATCTCTTCCTTTCTGCATATTACTCTGTTTATCTCAAAGGTTGAAACTACTGCAACAGCCGTCGATTCGATGCGGTAACAAATACATTAGAGAAACGAGAACCTAGCATAAGAATTTGTTCTGCTCGATCGCTTCCAGAAAAATTTCAAAACGTCTACGGATGCAATATCAGTTTGTTCTAGCTCATGTTCGTTTAAAAACAACCAGGTGAACACTTGGCTGGAATGAACCCCATGCAAGAATTAAGCCGTTTTTTCCCCTTTTCTCATGGTATGAATTAATGAGGGGTAAATTAAGATGGCTCTGAACCGTAGAATCAGCCAAAAGTTTCCTAAAACGTTGCCGAAAGACGAACAAAGTCATCTAACTTGGTTTTAAGTTACAAGCAAATACCTGAAGGTATTTCCAAGAGGCCGTAGTGTTTCTTTAGCACTTTTTACTCGTAAAAAAATAATCACTGTTCGATAAGAAATTATTTTGCATCTTAACGATGCTATATTCAAGGGATACAACAAAAATGTTTGAAAGCTACAATAGCAAGAATCAAATGGTTTACTTTAAAAGAGTTTTACGTTCAATTATTTCGAAATAGTGCATGTATTCTTTATGAAATAATATACAGTCACTGATAGCCCTTTGTAATTTAAACTTTGTGAATCTTACGGTCTGAATTACAAATGTTGATTAGGACTTCAATAGTGGCTGAAAAAGATTAGATAGCCGAAATTGTCGTAGGCTTAGACAATCCTTGAAGAGTTGCTCGTGATTAACTCTGATCAAACGTTCGGAAATCTAAATTTCGGTCCCCAGACACTATTTCACTTCACAATAATCGGGCACAAGATTTAAGATCGTATAAGCTGCTTATTGAAAGAGGTCTTTGAACGTAAAGCAAGAAATTTGTGTGGTCCTGATAACGATGAAGCAACACTCAAGTGTTATCCAACTCAATAGTTCCATCTGGATCCAAAAGGGATAGGTATTGAAGCCTCAGGAATATTTTTGTAGATGAAAAACCTCGATAGATGAGTCAGTGTTTTGATATTTGGTTAACACCGTGACATTTCACCAGTATTTGCGGATTTAACCCTTTACACCCTAACATCAGTATGCATTTTCTCCCTACTGTTCTTTATACATTTCCTAAGATGCTGACAAGGAGAATTTGTCTAACAATCGAGAGTTTCTTCAGTTGGTGATCATTTCTTTTATTCTTCCGACCCTAATGTGTGATTCAGGGTTGATATTTTAAGGAGAAATGAGATGTTAGTCACTTATAGGGGTCAAAGGGTTAATGAGAAAAGAAAAAAAGCGGAAAATTGCGCGTCCTCTCATTTTGACAAATAATGTTTACTTTCTCACTAGGTAAATGCATTATTTTTACTGCAGTCTCGCGGTTGCTGCATTAAAGTTCTTATTTCCTTTCAGAAAGCATTTCATACCCATCTTAGGTGTATTCATTTCAAAAACATCAAGTCACCCTGAAAAAATTCAATGCTCTTTAGGTATCGTGGGTTATCAGCTAATCACCGATCCATTTTCATTTCCGAACCAGGAAAACATACCAGTTGACCATAAAGATGCCACACAATGTTGCTGGTTTCCGTTTAGCATTTGTACAGTGTTAGAGGTAATGGAATAAAAAAACCGCTCCCTCCGATAAAGTCCTAGAGAACAACGAGGGAATATAAATAGAACATGATCTCGGTTACACCTCTTCTTTGTCCCGCTTCTGAAAAGGAAATTGAAAATTCTCGAAAGTGAGTTATCACACTAACCTCAGTTGATAAGCATTTGATTAAAGGACATCGCTTCGATTTAACTAAAGTGCCGTGTTATGGGCTAAAAATCCGAGAAAAACTATTTAAATATTCCCTCGTGTGAGAGATGATTCCGCAAAAGCTGCGAGCAAACGTAATCTATAGTGTATGGTGTAATCATTTTATATGCGAAAATTACAGAGGCCGTATCGGTACGAGAACTTATTGATCAGAAAATCAGTGTTTTTTTTAGGGTCTATCGAACGAAAACATTTCAAAATAAAACGTCTCTTGATGCAAAACCAATAAACTAAGAACACGCCTTAAAGAATTTAAAGAAAAGGAAATGTGTGGGTCTGTGGGCGTTTATTTGCTTTCTACAATGATTGATGATTCTAAACAATCTTGAGAGGTTGATTCCCTTCCAAATCCTAAACACACGCTAGCTTTGTATTATGTTTCATCTTTCGTTAACAAAACAAAAGATAAATTACCCATATTAGACACATTTCCTGCTAAAGTTGATAGTTTTTGCTGTCATGGAAAAAAACTTAACCTTACAGAGGTCGCTAGTTTTTTTTAAGTAATTTGACGAGAAGAATTGTGAATTCATCAGCGAACCTATATATGCAGTATCGATGTTGATGTTAGTGATAAAGCTTGTTTGTTGGAAAACTTATCAGAGGATGAAAAGGCCGAGAGGACCCACAAGGATATAACATCAGATGAACCCCATAGTGCCCAGTGTGTATATTTGTGTTCGTGACCACACACTAACAAAACTTTAACGAGTCAGATTGAAACTTTAGAAGTACATTCTCTCGTTATGTCAAGACTGCTGCCATTCTGCTCATTTTTATCAATACGTTTGTGAAGAATCTTTATTTTTCATTTTAAAATTGGGGTTTTATCTGAACTTGATGTTATCCAAGCTTGGGAAGATGTCAGAGAAGCCATTTCCTGAACATTGTATCGTCTTTTTCTCTTCGGCTCATTCAACGAAAGAAGTGGGGTTTGTTGCGACCCGATACGATGGTACGTAGCGACCTCAGAAGAAAGATATAGAGTTGGAGTGCCAAAGATAAAATTTCGAAGTTAAGGGAAGAAATTGACCTCATTGAACAATGTTCTCGGAAGTATCAAAAATCGTTTCCTTTTCTTTAAAGCCAATTTCCTGATTACTATCACATGATTCAAATGATACTTCTTTTGAAATCCGCTAGGAAATCTCCTGACTTCATCATAGTCTCCTCTCATTTATCACAATCGGCAAGAGACAAAATTAACTAGTTGGCGAAGTAAATGAAAACTTACGCCCCCTTCATATGGTTACATACGATAGCATTGTTGTATTGACCCCTGAAGAAGGGTTTCACTAGAATCATCTTGTGGATAATGAAACACATATGTCGTGTCTAAGCATCCGTCTTATTCATCTAGATTTCCTCACAAGAAACCGAACTATAAACTCAATTTTTTTTAAGTTGACCTCGCTGTGAGCAATTTAGGCTCGTTTTCTCAATTTAAGTTAGTTTTTTATTTTAGGTTCAACTTCGATATTCTGTCTAATTTTGAAACTTCTGTCATCATATAAGGTTATCGGCTCTGATTAATTTATCTCTCTGGGAATGTTCAATTTACACCTTGCTAAGCGCTCTTTAAATACTGTTTTCACTACATGAAGTCACACTATCTACGGTGTGATACGGCATGTGAAATTCAGTGGCAAATCGTAAAATCAAAACTTAGCAGAAAACAAAGGAAACTGAGTTTTGCTTTTACCATTGAACGAGACGGTGAGGAACTAATTTCTAAATTTAGTTAGCGTGTGAAGTCATATTTTCAACCGTCAGCTTTTATCTCTATTTTTTTTCGTCTTTACTGAACCCTGTTATCGTTGTTATGTAAAGTTCAAGTGGGTAAAATCTCAACATGCAACCGATCGGCAGAGACATTATTTTGCAGGGAAGATGAAAAAGTTTTGAATGAGCGTGTTTTCTACAGTAAAGGTAAGCTTCCATGGGATGCAATTTACTCGATACGAAAAAAAATAAGGAGAACGTAAGGGTGCTCTGCCAATTTTTGGTTTCTTGGTCAGTGATAGAACAGAAAATGTTGCGATGGCACGCGAAAATCCTGACCGACGTGGAATTTGATTTTATCTGTGAAATCTAAGAGTCATCTTACACCTTTATCGATAAACTTAAACGTCGGCGAGTTTAATAAGGCGTGTGTAGAAATGAAAAAACTGAAAAAGGGAAAAATTATATTTCTCTGCAATTGTGCTGTGTTCAAAGAACACTTGATCTGATTTAAGGTAAATTGAAACGCAACAGACTGAAAAAGAAAGTGGAACATGATTGTTGTTATCGTGATCAGAGAGCTCTTGAAAAAGCGTCGGAAATTCTGGTTTAAGTTTCATTGTCTTTGATGGCCGCGTGATCACGACTTTGAAATGTTCATTTTGTATCTTTAGAGAAAACTGGATGTCTAAAGCTTATGAACATTTTCCGTCCAGGAACCCGCAGTTTTAGACTCCAAACAATGTAGAAGGATGAAGAAGAGTTTGCCTCTAAGATTTGTTAAATTACACGAAATCCAAAGTAGCTAGAGTATCGATAAACCGCGAATGGAAAATATCAGTTTCCTCATTCCTTCAGCTAGGAATTCATTCAATTTCTGCTAATGGTTCTCTCTAAATTGTCCCATTTGAAGATACATAGAAATCATATAGCGCTCCTCGAAGTATTTTTTTCGAGAAGAAATAGTGAAATTTTGTTTCTTTTTTTCTTCTTCCAGTTTCCTCTTCTTTTCACGCCACATACCAATCTTGTCACCCAACAATCTGGCACTGTCAATCAAACCTGATCAAATTAACTACGTCAAACTTCACTGACTGAGCTTCGCGGCGACCCACAGTTGTTTTCGAATGGTACATGTTTCTATTTGATGCCGGCGAAAATACCACAAGATTCATGTAGGAAACAAGACTATACAACCTTGAAATTCAACGGCAAGTCTAAAGGTGATTTTATTATCTAAGAATGACGTTGATTTTGGTGATTTTCTGTATCTGACTGCGTCCATGGCCATTGCCACATCCGCTTCCTAAAGGATAACTAACGCATGGCTTACGATCACACTTCGGCAGATACACTGAAAATATTGCTTGGGAGTTTTTTCTAGTGGTGGGAGTTTCTTTCGAGCTTAGAGGCTAAATGAGGAACACACGGGTCTTCAAAATTCGTGTCAAAGTGACAGATACTCTATTATTTACTAGCGTCGGCCATTTTCGTATATCAAGTACGAGTACTGCTGCCTCTTGTGTTGCACCGTTGAACGCCATCCTCTGGATAGTTAGGAGTCAAGTTGGAGATAGCACAGTTTAAAAGGGGCCAGAGTCTAGACTAATCGTTTTTTTGAGAACAAATTTGCTGTTACCTACGTCATGTAGGACTGCTATTTTAATGTTCAATTGTTTTGTCTTCAATGATTTGTCTGAAGCCCCGGCGATCCTCTTCGACGGCCGGGAATAGTTGTCCATCATGAATTACTCTTATCATAAAGAAGAACTAGACATAGTATATTCTGATGTGAAATCTAATAACAATAAGCAAACAATAAACTTATCTTTTGTGGCATTAATGCATTTTCTAACCATTGATACCAGTAATGGTTGAATTTCTCATGGTTAATGCCAAATTCGAGCGATCCTGTAATGTCAGGTAATGAACAGAACTTGGCTTCAACGAGTTCAATTAACACATGTTTTTATCTTACAAATAAACAAAAAAAATCCATCACGCAACTTGAAATTATCGATTTTGGCTGAGCAAAATTGGACTCGGTAGGTTAAGAGGTTAGCGAGGTTTCGGTTTCAAGAAACTTAAGCTTTATAAAAATCTTAGTCTTACTTTACTTTGATGATGTACGAAATTCGATTTAAATGACACACATCACGCTACCTTGTAACGAAGGAAAATATCCTTCGGCTTCGCTTGGTCGTGTTCTTTGCGGAATTTACCATCCATGGCGTAAAAAGGAAAGGAAACGAGGTTTATTAATGAGTTTAACGTTTGTTTAAATATTGGAGGATTTGGGTAAAATGTAAGTACAGAGATTAACAGAGATATTTCTTTGATTTCCTTAGGTAATACCGATAAAAGACGCTATGCAAGACTCAAGGCATTCCTATCTTCCCAGCATCGTTGTAATGTTATTTCTCACGAGATTAGGTAAGGCTCTCTTTATTTGTAATCTAGTAACTTTTGCTACGATATGTTGTTTGAATACAGGAACACACATTCGGAGTAAATAGGGTTTTGGCTAATTTGTAATGTTCTAAAGGAATTTTGCAGAAATCTGTTTAATATTGTCGCGTGTCGCTTTCAGATTATACAGTTCGTGTTCATAGTTCCTTCATTTAATCCTCGTTCTGTGATAAAATTCGTTTCATAAGGGCTCGTGAGATAAGGTGATACAATTTGAAGCCGATTGTTTTAAAAGAATTCTCTGGCGCTTGGCTCCTGGCACGCGTTCAAGTTTTAGCCGCAGATAAAATTTACTGTGATCGCCGCTGTTACTTATTACATCCAGCACGTATATAAAAAATGTTTCGTTTCATATTCAATAGAAATGTGTTTTTATCATAACAACTTTGCGCTCCCTCAACAAACCAATATATAACTAAAACTATTTAACCTTTTTAACTGATTATTGTAATTTCATTAGGGTTTGTGGTTATTATTCGCTAAACGTGCTGTTCAGCTTTACTTGTTCCAAATTTCCTTTGAGGTGCTAACGCGGTTGGGGTAATCCAAAAGCTTTGTTAAATTAACATATCATTTTCTATTCCTTGTTTGAAATAAAGGAAAGTTTCTAAATACTAACTCAATCTCTCAGGATAATATGCTGTTATTTGACAAAAAAGTTACTTTACCCTCAAAAAGTAAGTACTTTTGTTTTAAGGAGAACAAAAGTACGACAACTATCGGCAAAGAAAGTTTTTGAACAGATATGTTAGGATATTTCCTTGTAATTATAGTCCTTTCAAAGCCAGTGTGTAGTGACAGGTGTTTTCCAGCTGTTTGGGAATTAACAAGAAGTATCCAATCATAATACACTCCATGGGCCAAATTTCATCAAATGGTTGAGTAACGTATTTAAGAATTTGATATGACTCTTCTATTATTTCACCAAGACTTGAATTTTATGTTAATAAAAGGTACAGGTTTAGCCTGTGGACTAAATTAAAACAGGAAGACTAGATGATTTAGAAGTCCCCCATTTCACCCGTGTGAAAAATTGACAAATTATCAAGATAAGGGCCTGGAAATGGATTGTAAGTGGGTGTGAATGGAAGAGCCCAAACCAGATGTTGTATAGCATACTATGTCAGAGGATTGTTTTGATATATTTTCCTCAGTATTGTGTTTGTTACTCCTCTATGAACACGTCTTATTTTCAGATTGCAAGTTATAGATTTAAGTCTCAATCAAGGTATTCTCGACAAAAAGGTAACATTGTATCATTGTTTTCCGGAAGCAAAATTGTCAAACATATCTTTCCAGCTTCCATTTCTTCAATGATAATAATTATATTTAGAATAGTAATGAATCTTTACTTATTTGATAAAACTTGATCAAATATTAAAATAATTAATTAACTAAAATATTTCAAAATAATCGCTTACAATATAAAAATGTGCTTATTTAAATCTAAAAACCTATTTACTACAAAATCTATTTTTAAAAGATTTCTTTTGTATTTTTAGAAGTTAACAAGAGCTATTTTAATCACACAAAGCTGCAGACTGATACCTGGACTTGATCAAAATAATTTTTAGCCTTTGTCGGCTTGTGTTTTTTATGGTGGGCTACCAAAAAAGTTCTAGGAGAACATTGATTTTTAGGATACTAAGGAAGGATAAATACAGACAGACTGGTCTGGTTGCATAATTCAATTACAGAGTAAATTTTAAGGCTCTTAGGACAAGTAGAGGTCAAAAAAAAGAACAAGCCATGTCTAAATTGGTATCCTTTGGTTTAATTTAGGGTTTACCAGAACATTTCAATGTGTTTCATAACGAAGTCTTCTCACACATCATTATTTTTATGATTTTATGTCAATCTGTTAAAGTTAGATTGAATGTTAAAAGTATACCATGGCCATATATGGTATCAGACTTGCAGAGACTGAACTTTTTTTTGGAAATTTACCAGGCTTTTAATCTGTGTGGACATGCAGTTGGTGAACACTTTGTAAAAGTCAGTACTATTATAAGTGAATCAGTCAATCAATCATTGATTCTGTATCATCGAGGCGGTACTTACCAAACCACACGCAATGTAAGTGAGTGCGGCACATGCCTGTGGATCACAGGTGTCAAGGACATGCAAATAAGATACTTTTTCATGCATGACCTGGAGACAACTGGGGATTATTTGATGTTAAAAAAACCATAATCTGAAAAAAGAGTGCAGTCAGTCAAGTGAATGGTGCCAGGGCTTCGATTCAGGTACCAGCATTGCTGACTCAAAGTCATGCATTTTCCTCTCTCTCTTTGCCAAGGAATTTTTTAAGGAAAAATTCATCAGATTTGCAACATACAGGCATTAAATACCTTTCAATAGTTAATTACCATCTTCAGGATGTTGAAAATTTGCTGTCATTGCTAATTTTTCAGGTGTCAAACATCTTGTCAGGGCTTCATTTCACGGCATGCAATGCACATCACTCAATGTATATTGAAGTGCTCTATTCATGTGATCGAAATTCAGTTATATTATTCATGAAATTGACAACTGTAATTTATCCATATGAATACTTGTGTTTCTTAAATTTTGAGTGTCGTAATTTGTAGGGATAGAAAGAATGGTGCCCATTTGGCCATTGTAGAAGCCAGAATAACAAAAAAAAAGCATTTGCTGCATCCATAACTTTTAGGTTAGCAACAACTAAGGAATGTAAGAAAGAAAAAAAAATGGCTTGCATACCTTCAAATTAAAGAGATCTGTCTTTTAAGTTGTAATTTCCGGCTTCCAAGCATACAGTGTTTGTAATGATTTCCGTGAGTTTTGCCATGTTTGGAAAAATGAAAAACAAATTTGTGAAGCTCTTTTGTCTTGTTGTCAGGAAATCCCTACTTTCTTAGGGTAACAGCTTAAATAGTCATGTGTCATTTGAACAAGATGCCTCCATGATTCAACATCTGGCAAGGATACATTGCATTCGGCATCCTTTGAAATTTGTAACTTTGCCAATGTGGCAAATTGCATTTTCAGAATGATCGCAACTCATCAGAATTTTTAGGGGGGAAATCAAGGCAGCATTGATAGGAAAATCAGACTTGTCTGACTTACGATAAGTTGGTAGGTATGTTCAAGCCTGCAAGTAATTTTTGTCTTTCGCAATTCTCCTAGCCACTGAGTTGTTTTTAGGGGGCAAGGCATTGTTCAACTCAATGTTTGAATTGTAACTGTAATTGGAAAGTGGACTGAATACCAGACCCTTCCTTGTTGGATCTATCCAATCTTAAAAGATATTTTTTAGGAGATGAACTTTATTTGACATTTAGACAGCAATTCTGCTAGTCTTCATCAAGCAATAAGGGCGATTGTTTATGTGCAGCCATTTGTAGCATGTTGGTTCACTGCTATTGGTGCATTTTGATCCTCACAAATAGCGACATGCAAATAATCAACCTCTTTACCTGATGAAGACTTGCAGTATTGCAGTCTAAATGTTGCAATCAACATCCAAAGTGACTCCATTGTGAGACAAACAAATAAAGTTCATCTCCTATCTTACACCACAATGAACAATAAACACATTTTAATTGACATATTTTTTGTATTGTGATCACCATGGTAAGAGTGTTTGATCTAGCCAAATGTTTGCTCATCAAAACCAGAAGTTTATGGGATATTTGTTTGTTGACTGGCTTTTATTTGCTGGCTTTATAAACAAAATACTTGAATGAACAAATATGAACATATTCTGTACTTGTCATTGACTTTCAGGGGCCTCACAGAACGTAGACAATGATGTTGCCTCAGAAACCATGCCTGGTCCCAATAACAAAGAAGCTGATGACTTTTTAAAAGGGCTTTTGCAAAAGCCCAACTCCAAAGGAAGTCCCAAATACCATATGTCATCAGCTGATGAGTTGAATGAAGTGGTCAACACAAGATTCAGGAAAGAAATGGTTGTGTTGTTCTCAAGGCTTTCTGAGACTTACCAATGTAAAATACTTTCGGCTGTGCAGAAAAAAACACACTGTAGTATGCCATCTCTCATTAAACCTCTTTCCAACCTGACAGAGATGAAGCATCCTGTAAATGTCAGCTGTCTTCTCAAGGGAAAAATGAAACTGAAGGAATGTAGCTTTGCTCATAAAACTTTCATTGGTGATGTCTTCAGCCACAAGCTTTTGGATTTCTTTGCATCACTTCCGGCTGCTTTTAAATGCCATGTTATTAACACCATTGCATTGGCATACAACAAGCAGCGTAGACGACATCTTGCATCTTCCATCTCTGTCAGTCAAGTTCAAAAAGCTCTAGAGGACATCTTTCCATCTGTTACACTGGGGAACACTTGTGCCAATATAGAAATGGATCACTTAATACCATCAATTCCTCCAGTCAATATCACAGTGAATATGGCAGGCATTGAGAGGGAGTCCTGGCTAAAGCATTTCTCAAAGACAGGTCCTGATATCTACAAGGCATTCCTAGGGTATGACTGGGAGACTCGACGAGGAAAAATGCTCGGTTCTCCAAGCACTGCTAAATATTTAGCAGAGAAGACAGAAGAGATAAACAGTGCTCAGCTTTCCATTGTAGGAAAAGATGGTCATGATGTAGCTTTTTCAGTACTGGTTTTATTAAAAGTGAAGAGGAAGCAATCCGAGCGATTGCGTGAGATACGGTCAACTTACAAGATTGTACAGGCTTTAAAAACAAAGACTGAGGATGAGCTACAGGAAATTTTCAATGCAACCATCATTAACATTGGTTTAAGTGGACAGAAGTCTAACATAACCAAAACCTCATCAAAAACCAACACTTGGACACTGAATCAAGTTAGCAAAGCAAAGCGTTTGTTTCCAGTTCACTTGTCTGGATATTACAAGGAACTGAGTAAAGCAGCAAGGTGTTTCATCGTGCTTTACATGTCACATCAAATCAAGAAGAGTCCCCAAGAAGCTGAAATGTTCTATGTCTCTTTGAGGCTTATATCAAGGAAGCACACATGTTATTATACTTGGAGAAAAGGCCCTACTGATGATCCTGGCAGCATAATACCTGAGCGTTTTACTGCAAAAGTGACGCAGGCTCCAGTCTCGAATAGCACAGGAATACCAACAAATGCCACAATTAGCACTCTTAGTGCGAATACCGTTAATGATGTTTCTGTCGCTAAGGTCCATACAGATGACTTCTCTTCTTTGGAAATTGTACTTTTTGCACTGCTAGGATTTCTTTGTTTTTCTGTTTTGGCGTTTACAGTTAACTGTGTATTAATGGCTGTCAGAGCGAATGGAAGATTTCAAAAGAATGGTGCTGCAAAAACTGTGCTTCCAACTGGGATGAGTCATGAAGATGGTACAAGCCATGGTGGAAATGGTTCTTCTCGGATTTCTGAAAAGAAAGAGAGTTCTCATCTTCCTGTTGCAGTGGAAACTAAAACAGGCCTTGGCAAGATTTGTAAAAGTTTGCAGTGTGTTTCTCTTTCAGCATCACAGAAAGCTAATGACAGACTCAAAGTAAGAACTTGTTTATCTCAAAGCTGTCCTAGTGCTCAAAACACCTCAGAAAATAGAACAAACCCTAGGATTCGCTCAGAAAATGCGTATTGTGTGGGTTATTCAGCAAAATCAAAAACATTCAAGACATTATCAAGTGTAGAAAGAGACAGAGAAAGGAAAGACTCTTCATCAGAATCAGAGAGAAGGTCCTTGAAGTGTGACACTCAAAGCTCCAAGAGAGAGCTTGATATTCACAGTACGAAGGACAATGACAGAATTTTAGAGTCGCAAGGTAGAGCCATAAGTTACTGTAGTATATCTGATGCAAGTTGCAGAGGACAGCCACCTTGTGTTACACAAAGTGGTTGCCTGCCATCAGAACAATCCCATGAAACAGTTGTTGTTTTGTTAGATTATGCAGGATTGAAGGAAGCACAGGTCTGACCCTGGCTGGCCCCAGCCGGACTGTCACTGCTGGAATCATTGCTATATTTAATGAGATTGTTGAAATATAAATTTAATTATTTAATTATAACGTACTTGACCTTGTTGGTACAATTAAGGAAAGCTGCCAGACCTTTTTATCCAACAGATGTATACTCTTTTGAAGGTCAAATTGGTCCTAAATGTTTTTTTTAACTTCAATGTGGCAAGATTTTTACTCAGTGCGTGGGCCTTTAGTTCATTATCTTAGAATGAATGAGGTGAGTTTCATTTGCACAAAAAGTTCTCTGTGGATCCAACAATATGACTTTATTGACAAGCAAGAAAGAAAATAATTTAAAAACTTGTCACTACTTTACTCAATGGCCAATTCTTTGTTTGGAAATTGTTTCCCCAATTAAGGCCAAGAATAGTTAAATTTATTACCCTCTTGCAAAGAAGCTTCTGATTGGTCTTAGAGTATTGTATAATATCCATTACATTATATCTCCATGTAAGGTTTTGGTCTGAGAATGATCAACAGGGGGGAGGGGTGGGGTAGAGAGCCATGAGCTTCACCTCCATCACCCACCTCTTCCTTTCTTGACATCACCTGTCAGATCTCAAGGTAATATTTAATTTTTTTTTATTTGTAAACCAAAGGAATGTTTAAAATGTATTATCAGTAAAGTTTTAGTAATTGTTGTGAAACTTTTTTTAAATACTAAATGTTTATTCAGAACTCCAAGACCATCTCTAGTGATTGTCTCCCACACTATTCTGCCATTCTTGGTGGCAGCAGCATTCCATTACAAGCCAGCTGTTGTTTTACTTGTTTGTACCAGCCAAATTTAGTAAACCACGGCAATAACAAGCCATTTTTTCATCCGGTATGGATTAGGGAAGATTTAGTCTAATTTGGTTTTATTTTTTTCTGCAATCAGCTACAATCACCTTTACTTCTCTTCATTAACTTTTTTTTGTTTTCTTGGATTGTTATCTTCTCTTGGATTATTATTTCTAGTAAATGTAGCCAGTATGGCCCCTTGCACTTGTGGTTGTGAGTCATTTTATTGTAGTCATCTTGCCCCCAAACTGTATGACCCTGCCTTAAGTGTAGTCAATGTTGCCTCACATGAAACTAAATGAAGTCAACAATTTTTTCACTCAGTGATGCAACAAACTTGTCACCACTTGCCACCAAATGGCTATCACTGGTATGATTACAGACTGAATTGGACTCCAGTCAGTCCTATCACCATTCCAAATTGGACTCCACTTTATAGTCCTACTATAAGCTTTTCCTTAGTAGCTATCTTAGTGGAATTTATTGGCCTCAAGTGTCAAAAGCTATGGTGATCCTTAGGCTGTGTTTTTACACAGATAAAACCTTTTATTTTTGTAGCATTTCTCTTACATGTGCCAGCAGGATAAAATATCAGGAAGACGCCAGCAAAAAGATTAAACACACTGTAATGCTACTTGACAGAAATCATATCTGTAAATAAGTGTCTCAGTTGTAAGGGTTAAAATCAGATCTAGAGTCAGAGTAACCTAATCATTATGAAATTGTCTCTAAAATGTTTAAAACTTGATCCTGTATGTCCTCACTTTGAAGGCACCTCAGTACTCTAGGTGCTCAAACACAGCTCCCTCTGTTGATTGTTCGAACAGATCACTAAGAGATGGACAAAAGAGGAGTGATACTTTCTCATGTCTCATATTGGCCACGTTGCTATGGAAAACTCATGATGGTTACCACTGTAGACAAATTTTAAGCTCATTTTAAAATAAAATTTGAAAATATAGACCACTCTCAAGAAATGCAAAACTATGTCAATACCATAATTATGGGGGTTAGGAATGGCAAGCGGTGAGAGCACTTGCCTCCCACTGTTGTGGTTCATATTTCATGTCTGAGTTTGTTGCAGGTTTTCATCCTCTAAGGGTTTTTCTCCAGATCCTTTGGTTTTCCTCCATCCTTAAAAACCAACATTCAAAATTCCAATTCTAGCGGGAAACAGTGGAAAAGAAGAGCCGCCTTGAAGAGTGTCCACTGTTAAATTCCCATTTCCCATTATTGTAACATTCTTTGAACCCTTAAAATCCTAAGGGTGACCAGCATGTGAATTCTCCTTACAATAATACTATTGAACCATTCATTCAAATCATGGGAATAAAGAAAATGATCACCAACCCAGAAAGCTAAGATCAGTAAACAAATTCTCCTTGTCAGTACCAAAAGAAATGTATAGCGAAGAGTATAGAGAATGTGGATACTGATGCTTAAGTGTAAAGGGTGAGATAAAGGAGATATCAAAGATGTGTTTCCCAGAGTATATCTGTCCTCTGCCTGTACCCTTAACCTGAAATGTGTTATCTGTCCTAAATATAATTGTGACCACCATTTTGTCTACATGAAAGCTTCATTTGCATCTGTGTTATTTTTGTCGCAATATAAACCATATGCATATACTTCTAATAGATTAATAAACCATGTCTAATATTTCCATAGTTAAATTTGCAAGTGCAGGGGGGGAGAGAGAAGGGGAACGAAGAGGTACCTGTTACCTGTCTTAAAACTGTGAATACAATGTTGTTAACTTCTAAATTCCTAACTGCTGTTTAAGAAACTTGTTTGATGTGAGTGAAAAAAATTAAAAAAAAACATAAACCTATTAAATGAGGTAGAAACAGGCCTTTTTTGGCCAATTTCCATGCTTCAAGATTTTTTTTTAGATGGCAGGAGTGGCATGTTTTTGACCTAACAACTGAGGATTGATACAGTTTCCAGGTAAAAAGATTTATTATTTAAGAACTTGTACATCTTAGAGGAGCTCTTAAGTATTGTATTTTCTCAAAAATCAACACTCTGTAGGTTTTCCTTTGTTCCCTTCCAAATTTTAAAGGATCCCTCTTTTGAGGGAGTAAACCCCCCTGACTCTTCATGACCCTGCTGAGAATCAGAGGATGAAGTTAACTTGCCACTGAAAATAAACAGTGTTAACTATCTTGAACAACTTGAATTCTTATCTCTCTTTATTAAATGTTTCCCTGTTTATGAGCAAATAATTGAGAACACCTGTGTCATGTGCTTAGATAGCTCTGCCGTTCAGCTTTGGTTGTTCGTATCACAGGTATAGTCCTTTTCTGGTTGAACTGAATGAGTTTGTATTTAACGGTAACAGTAAGGAAGACATTCAAAGTGACAAGTTGCAATCCAGCCAGCAAGAAGAAATAGTAGTTTAAATGGCCCTGTAGGGCTTTTTTAAAGTTTTGAGTAAAACTTGGAGTCCATGAATCTTTTCCCAGTGAACATAGTTCATATAAACCTCCTCCAAGTAAACTACCAAGTGACTGTGAGAAAAAGAACATTCCCATGACAAAACTTTGAGCAGACTTTGGGGCTTCTTTATAGGCAAACTCCAAGGCTGAAATTGAAACATTGGTGATTGTTAATATCAAGAACCTTCACAAGATTGTAAAGAAGTGATTAACACGTAACTTCTTCCCATGATATCCATACATTATCCAGCAAACAGGTAATGAGAATACTCAAACTTATCAGGTAGAAGTTGTTATCTTGATCTCACACCAAATTCTTGTAACTTATTTAAAGGAAATGTCTGGCAGCCGGAAGGGAGAATTGAAAATCTGATCGTGGGAGATAAAGGGTTAATGAAAATGAAAAACAGCTCAGATTCCATTGAAGTTCAAGTGACATGAAAGTCACAATAAATGCATGAGAAATGTCATTCAACTGAAGGGAAAAGCTTAAAGTTCTGGTAAGTCACAAGGTTGCCATAGTGGATTTCAAGATAGTGGGTTGTGCTTTAGACCTATAAACATACTGGACACCATTAATCCTTAACCTTCATAGGGTTACTTGCATCTAATTTCTCACTGAAATACTGAATCAAACATTAGGCTTATCAGAATTATAGATCTGAAATGATTGCAAATGTGAAAAGCTATCTGCTGATGGTAAAGGCTGGTGTAAAGGGTTAAGATTGCAAAGAGAGTTACTTGCACCAACAAACTTCACAAAGGATATTTTAGGAAACTTGAGAAGAAGTTCAAAATTGGCCTCATTAATAATGGCACCACCTCCCCCCCTGCCCAAGTTTCAGAATACTCTGCACCATCTCTGACTGTGTTACTTACCTCCCACACTTGCAAACACTTCACTGATACCAATCAGGGCATACTGAGGAATTTGGTAGTAGATTTCCAAACAAGCAGTGTAGTTTCTACGATCAATTGTCTGATTCTCACAGTGATGTGAATCCTGTACTTTCAACCTGGCAGTCTCAACTCCACCAGCCACTATCATTGATGCAACCGCAAAGAACATCCCTTAAATGGTAAAATTAGATTTTTTATCAGTGAGTCCATAAATGAACAAATGAAGGAGGCCCTTAGTGAATTTTGATGGAAAATATAATTCTCCTTGAGTGTCACAAGATAAAATAGTAAGATCCAGTTCTCTGTACATGTAGCTGTCAGAATATGTTTCTTGTTTTGAACATTCCTCTTCTTTCTGGAAATTCCTTAGAAGGTATAGCATGCAGTAACATTTAACCAAGGTGAAATTTCAAGAGATTATTAAATGTCAGTATCTGAGAAACTGCTCAACTACCCCTTCCCAGTCAACTGATGACAAGTTCAGGTTAATGTTGGGTTAGGGGAGGGGTAGGTGTGCAGTTGCTCAGACACTGACTTTGTTGCAAATGACCAAACTATCTTTGTTACCCTTTCACTCTCAGGACTGATTTATATTGTCAATATATATGTCATGCAGAAAGGTTGTAAGAAGAAAGAAAAATATCAACTGGAAGATTTAACCCTTTACACCCAAACATCAGGATGTATATTCTCCAAACTGTTTTCTATATATTTCCTGTGGGGCTAACAAGGAGAATTTGTACAACAATCAAGAGCTTCTATAGTTGGTGATCACTCCTTTATTCTCCTGACCTTAATGTTTGATTCAGAGGTGATATGTTAAGGAGAAATTAGAAGCCAGTCACTCTTAGGGTTAAAGGGTTGATTTGATTGAACACAAAATTCTTAGAGATAATATCATAATTAAAAAGTGTGTGTCAGGAAGAAATAAGGCGGAGAATGCTGTGAAGGGAGGGGACCTGCAATAATCACATTCCTAACCAAAAGTACTTAAAACCTTTAACTCTCACATGTGATAAACATGTAACTTCTCACTACAACATCTATACATTACCCAGCAAACAGGTAACGAGAATACTCAAACTTATCAGGTAAGAAATTGTTATCTCGATCTAACCCCTAATTTGGAAAACTAATTTACAAGGAAATGTGAAGTGGTTAGTGGAGAGGTTAGTGGAGAGAATTAACAATCAGATTTTAGGAATTAAAGGGTCAAGATTTCTTGTCCAGTTCTGTTAAAACTTAGTTCAAACATTTGCTGGAAAATTTATTCATAACCAAATAGATTGCAAATTTAACATGAGCAAGGTAGTACATTTCTGCAGAAAACAGTTGTGAGTTCAAAATTTCATTGTACATCTAGCACAAATCATCATACTTACCAATTGAAATTCTGTTAAAAACGCTTAGCTCCCATCCCTTTCTATCAAGCCATGGATAAATAATTTTATCCATAAGAGGAATTAAGATCAAAACGAAGAGGACATCTGCCAGTGAAAGTGAAGCTGGAGGAATCACTGCAAGGTCTGAGCGACTGTCTTTATCCTCTTGTAAAGCAATTTTCATGTGCAATCCTTGGAGCAAGAATGTTGAATTCATCTAAAAAGGTAAGCAGTTAAATAATTTCACTAGGTAATGGTAACTTGATCTGAGTTCAAGGACTAAATTTTTTAATTTTTCATTGTCTTTTATCATCTCTACACAGCACAGAAAAGAGACTCATTGGGTAAACAGCATTTCCTTCATAAAACACAAAAATTCTCATGACTTATTCAATATTGTGATGTTTAGAACCTGGAGGGGAGAATTAACAATCAGTTCTTCGAATATGCTTTATGAGCTCAAGTTTTTGTGAAGGGGCAAATGGAAATAAGCTCTCACTGATCAACTGCAGAATTCTCCTTTTGAATGGTCTTGTATTCTCTTGTGAAACAGAAGGAGATGATATTGCAGCAAAAGTCACATAGGACTTTCTTGTACTGACCCCATCTAATTTGAATTTATAAGCAGGTGAATTCAAATAAGGTAACTTAAAATTATTATTTTTTTAATTTGGACCATGGACTAGATAATCAGTGACTTTTATCCACTTGAGACAAAATATCACACAACTATAAATGATAAGCATCATTTAAACAATTTAGAATCAGAACCTGGAAATAAATCACCCAATATGGAATGAGTATGGCAAAAATAACCATGATCTTTAAAATTGTCTTAACTTCTTCTACATCAGTATCCAAAAAGCTTCCACCATATTTCATCATAGCACGATCCAGCCAGCTTTTCCTTGGCATGTACTCCTCCATATCAGGATAATAATGTGCACTTTCACTATTCCGTGCCCTAAAAGGAAATGTAATCAACTTGTAGAGAGTCTTTCATCCAGCCACATTCATCCACATGTAGTTTTTTTGACTAAGCAGAAACATTTTCAACCATTTAAAGCAGCTATCTTTTCTATCAGGATGTTCATTATAAACCAACACAACAAGGGCTATTCCAAAAATTTTTGATAGAGGGGGGATGCAGGCAAACTTGGATTCAGAAAACAGCCTTGGGCGCCTAAATAAGCCAATATTTCACAACTAGTACATCATGATTAATTCCTGTAGTAACATGAGATCCTGCCCTTGCAAGAATTTTGGCATCATTCAGCTAGTCCAAAAACCCACAGGACTGATAAAGGGGATCTGAACCCCTGTCCAACCACCCTCCCTGCAGTGGATTAGAAAAACCCACAAGTATAATAGAGGGGTTTGAACCCCTGTCCAACCTCCCCCCCCCCCCCCTTCTTGGATCCTCCAATGCAGAGGAGAGGAGAGGTACTAAACTGCTTTTACTAAGTACAAACTTGTATTCATAAGCAAACATATCCTAACCTATAATCTAGAGAATCAACTTTTCCAACATTCTCTACCATGATAGGTTATCAGCGGACTGATTTGAGTACCAATGGTGAAGTGCATGTGTTATCCTTGTAAATCAGGTCAGCAAACAAGGAGAGGTCAAGTGTTATACCAGTGCAATTGCACAGTAGGCCTCATTAACAGACTTCGATGGGTTCAATTTCTTGCAGTTAACTATTATGTTTTTGTTAATAAATTAATTCAATTTCATCTCTTACATTTTGTCATAGTCTAACGAAGTGTGTCCAATAGTATTAATTCATTGATTGATGACAGGAACAGGTGTAATCCAATTTTGTCTATAATCACACTCGTGATAAACAATAAACATAAAAGAATCCAGAATCAATTGTTCACTTGAATTAATGCAAATTAAATTGGACTCCACTCTGTCCTGTCATTGGTACTGGTGGTTAATTTGCCTAGCATGGGTTGCCCCTACCTGAATATTTAACAATTATTTATAAAAGTAGAGATGGGTGTTAGTAGATCTTTACCAAACTGTGAAGTGGCAATCCATTGCTAGCCAGCAACACTGAGGTGAGTGGTTGTTTTAGTGTATATATATATATATATATACACACACATACATATATATTCATACACACATATATATATATGTATGTATGTATGTATATATTGTGGGAGGAAAAAGACAAATAGACTACCAGTTCATCCCTACAGACCTGTTTCGTGGTTGCCCACTCATCAGGGGATTTGTATGTATATATATACATACATACATAAATATTATGAGAGGAAAAAAGGACGCAACTACATTTCCTGACAAGCCTGTTTCGTGAATCGCTTCACTCTTCAGGGGTTTAATGAAAGAATATTCATGTGACTATCGTGTATATACTAGGAAAATTTACATAATATGCGGTAAACTTAAAAACTTTAAAGATCAGCTGTTGTGCAGCAACGCTTTGTTTCTGTGTCGGCATGAAGATACGAGTTCATTACGCTTATTAACGTATCGTATCTTCATGCCGACACAGAAACAAAGCGTTGCTACGCAACAGCTGATCTTTAAAGTTTTTAAGTTTACCGCGTATTATGTAAATTTTCCTAGTATATACACGATAGTCACATGAATATTCTTTCATTAAACCCCTGAAGAGTGAATCGATTCACGAAACAGGCTTGTCGGGAAATGTAGTTGCGTCCTTTTTTCCTCTCATAATATTTATTCTGCTCTGCTTCAACGTATTGAGCACTGTTCCACGCGAAAATCGACTTGCAGACTTCCTACATACATACATACATATATATATATATATATATATATATATATATATATATATATATATATAATATATATATATATATATATATATATATATAATGTTTGAATAGCCAATCAGAGGGAAACTTCAACGCCATCCACTGTTTCAGTACATACTACATCTCATTATTAAAAACTGGATCATTGGATAATACAGTTCAAGAGTTTTCATTGGCTTAGCCATCATGGGTTATGAACCATTATACTATACTGGGAACATTTATCTATATTTTTGGATGTTTTTAATAAAAACAACTATTTAACTCGCACTGGTTGGATTTCAGATGATTACGGCCTACGAGGCCCTTATCTATCAAATCATATCCAACGTGGGCTCGTGGAATAATTGATCAATACACCTATGGGAAGCCTGGATGATAAAGGTAAACATACCTTGTAGATTCTTCTTTTTTAATGCGCTTTGCTTCCTTTATAATGTTACACATCTTCATCAAAATGTGTCCAGTCGGTGGATAGGAAATATAACGAGTTCTACAGATGCAAAAAACTACCGCAGCCAAAGCAATGCAACCAAACAAGCAGATGAACCCAATTCCGAAGTTAAAAACCTGCTCGACGTATGCAATAACAGAAAAGCCCATGAAAGAACCAAGATTTATACACCAGTAAAACCAATTGAAAAACTTCCGATATCTGTTGTCATCCTGGCCTCTTAGCTGATCGCCTCCAAACGCTGTTACATTCGCTTTGTAGACACCTTCTCCGATGGAAACAAATATCAAAGCGAACACAACTAAAATTTTACAATCTAGAAGACAATTCTTACTCCCGCAACTGAAATAAGTCGATCCCAAAATTGCACAGACGCCAACGATGTATATAAGAAGACTTCCCCATACTGCGTTATAACGACCGCTGTAGGAATCTCCAACAATACCTCCTACAGTCGACATCATCCAAGCCATACCGGTGAAAACGAACACAAGGCCAACAGACGCAGATGGGCTAAATTCAGAATCGTTCATAAGGAAAATAAGAAGGTTCGCCAAGATTCCATAATACGTGACCCTTTCGAGAACAACAGTAGTTAGCACGCACGCCAGAGGAAAGAACGAAGACTGTGTTTGTATCTGGGTTGGTTGTGGTCTCTGCAGCGCTTCTGTTGGATGTTGGAGATGACTAACCATACTTCTGTTTAAAACATCACTCGAAGTGGAAATCGACCGCATCAGCGGAGTTTTTTCGTCTATTCCTGGTGAAGAACTCATTTCTGGAGGAAACGTTCTCAAACTCATTGGATTCAAAGGGGATGTTGAGAAGAACGAGACTCGAGAAGGAAAACACAGTATACTGATCTCGTGACTATGACTTTCGTTTTAAGTCACATGATCGTGACGGAAATTGTGAAAGTATGTCATGACAACTTGCGTGACAAAGCGTAAATAATCATTACATCATTCTTAACCATTATGGGTTCCTGTAATGTACTGATCAATTCTTTTCTTATCTGGGCTTGGTGTAACACACGACTGAACATGGCATTATTTACAAACTATGACAGGATTTCTTTGAATACCAGCCATACCCAATCGTTTATGTTTTCCTGATTTAATATTATTCTTGAGCAATCCCAATCACATGCAACTAACAGTAGTTCCTCATAGTAACATTTTGCAAAAGCCTCGTCAAAATGATGTTAGAGTTGACCTTGCGCTGCCAAGGAGAATTTTTTGCATCTGAAATTCTTACTCTTGTTCCTACTGTTGTAATCTTGTAACTTGTTTGGAAAGTATAAGCTCATCAGTTGGCCAAAATACTGTTTTGCCTATTTCTATCGATAGCAGACTTGAGATTTACAAGAAAGAGAATCGACAAACCACTCTGGTAGTAATTGTTCAATGACATTCAGTGGTATTGATTTTTCAGACGGATTTGCAGAAAGTTTGAGCCATCAGAGGTAGGTAGGTAGGTCTGGGTACTCGAGCTATATGGCCCATTCAGCTGGTGCTTATTGCGGTTTCCTTTGCATGAAGTGGATGGATTGAAAGACTTAGTTCACTCAGTAGTTCTTCCAGTTTATAGCACATCATTGTTAAGTAATTGTCATGACAGGTTGCTTGAGCTTCGTCCTTCATGAAAGCTGCAGTCATTGCTATCAGTTAACCCTTTAACTCCAGAGAGTGATGAGCATCTAATATCTCCTACCAGTATCACCCCTGAATCACACATTAACCTTTAAACCCCTAAGAGTGACAAGCATCTAATTTCTGCCTACAATATCACCTCTGATTCACATATTCAGCTCACCGGAATAAAGGCAATGATTATCAAGTAAAAGGAGCTCATGATTGTTAAACAAAGTCTCCTTGTCGGTACCTTTGGAAATTTGTAGAGAACAGTATGGAGAATTTGCAAACTAATGTTAGGGTGTAAAGGGCTAAAAAAAAATGGATTCTAACTAAAGAAGCTTTGATTGTTACACAAATTCCACTTGTGAGTACCTTAGGAAATGTATAAAGATCAGTGTGGAGAACTTACATGTTGATGTTAGGTAGTAAAGGGTTTAGTCTCAATGATTCCAAGAGCTAAGTACCATAAAGGTCAGTGTGGAGAACTTACATGTTGATGTTAGGTAGTAAAGGGTTTAGTCTCAATGATTCCAAGAGCTAAGTACCATAAAGATCAGTGTGGAGAACTTACATGTTGATGTTAGGTAGTAAAGGGTTTAGTCTCAATGATTCCAAGAGCTAAGTACCATAAAGGTCAGTGTGGAGAACTTACATGTTGATGTTAGGTAGTAAAGGGTTTAGTCTCAATGATTCCAAGAGCTAAGTACCATAAAGGTCAGTGTGGAGAACTTACATGTTGATGTTAGGTAGTAAAGGGTTTAGTCTCAATGATTCCAAGAGCTAAGTACCAAGGAGCTAACTTTGCCAACAGATCAAAACTGTCTAAGGAACACTGACATATGCTAGTCAAGTCTTACAGCCCATAACAACTTGGAAAAACTGACTTCTAGCACTTCTCCTCGGTAATACTGATTTCCAATCAGACGAGTGAAACGTCATTTTTCTGTACAAAATCTGCTGTTAAAAGATCCCTTGACATCTTTGGTTAGAAGTCTTGCAAAATGCCCACCTCTCCACCTGCTTGTATCATATTTGGTATATGGAAATGTGTGCATCAGAGGATAAGAAATTTTCTTTTTATGGTTTATATGACAGTTTTCCAGACCACAGAATTGATAATGTATTTAGATACTTCTTGTGCATAATGAGCAATATGAGATGAAGCTGCTTGAGACACCAGAATCAAACAGCACAAAATCAAACAACTGTTTTAGAATGGCAGGAACTTTGACAGCTAATCTGATTACTCTTTTAATTCACAATAGGTCAGCAATCATGGAAAAAAATCTGTCAAGTCAGCTGTTAACAAAAGCTAAACGTGAATTTCCTCAAGAAATTTGTTCTGGACTGTCTACTAAAAAAAATTCATTTTGTAAATTTTTCTTTTATCTTACCCTGCAGTAAACATGAGTAATGTCTGATTTATTTGCATGGGACTAAGAAGAAATTCTTAATGAGCTTTTGAGGACATGGACATAAACCTAAATCAAAGGGTCTATTTTTCTCATTAACAAAAATCAATTGTTTGAATATTCAGAGGGGAATTTCTCGGCCCACGAAAGGGCTATAACTTTGACACTCAATCAAAATAGACAGCTGATCACGCTTTATCTTATACATTAAGAATTGTGCAGAAAATCTTCTTTTCGGCCAAGATATAAGCGCATGAATATTAAAACAACAGAAATTGGTTAATGAGCTTTTGGGGACCTTAAGGTAACCCCAGTTCAAGATGTCTATTTTACTCATAAAAATTAAACAATTTCTAATGTTTAAACATTCAGGGAGGAATTTCTTAGCCCACGAAAGGGCTGTAACTTTGACACTCAATCAAAATAGACAGCTGATCGCGCTTTAACTAATACGTTAAGAATTGTTCTGAAAATCCTCTTTCAGCAAAGATATAAGCACATGTATATCAAAACAAAAGAAATTGGTTAATGAGCTTTTAGCTCATTAACAAAATTCTATTATTTAAATATCCAGGGGAGATTTTCGCAGCCCATAAAGGAGCTGTAACTTTGACACTTGGCCGCAGTAGACAGCTGATCTCGTTCTTTCTAAAGCGTTACGAATTATCCATAAATATTCTTTTTGACAGAGATATAAGCGCATGAATATTAAAACAATTGAAATTGGTTAATAAGCTCTTGGGGAGATAGACACAACCCTAAATAAAACGGGCTATTTTTGCTCATTAATTAAATTGTATTGTCTTCAGAGGTGATTTTCTTGGCCCAAGAGAGAGCTGTAAGCTTGACACTTAAGCACAAAAGACAGCTGATCACGCCCTTTTTAACGCGCTATGAATTGTCCTGGAAATCCTCTTTTTGATTGAGAGATGAGTTCATAAATATTGGAACATAAGAGACTAGTTGATGAGCTTTTGAGGACATGGACATGAACCTAAACGAAAGGGAGTAGTTTGCTCTTTAACGAAATTCTATTATTTGAATATTCAGAGAGGAATTTCTCCACCCAGGAAAGAGCTGTAACTTTAACACTTAATTGCAATAGAAAGTTAATGAAGCTCCTTCTAATGCGCCATGAATTGTCCTGGAAATCCTCTTTTCGGCCAAGATAAAATATTTAAAACAAAAGAAATCGTTAATGACCTTTTGTAAACACCTAACCCCTAATCAAGAGATCCACTTTGCTCATTAACAAAATTCTATCGTGTAAATATTCTGAGAGGATTTTCGCGGCCCATTAAGGAGCTGTGATTTTCACACTTGGCCGTAGTAGACAGATTATCCCGTTCTTCCTAAAGCGTTACGAATTATCCATAAATTCTCTTTTTGACTGAGATATAAGTGTACGAATATTGAAACAATATAATTTTGTCCATGAACTTTTGGGGACCTCGAGCAAACTCAAGCTGAAGGGTCACCTTTGCCATTAACAAAATTCTACTGTTTGAATATTCAGAGGGGATTTCATCAGCCCACAAAAGAACTGTGACTTTTACTCTTTCAGATAACAGACAGCTAATCATTCCCTTTTTAACGCACTATGAATTATCATGGTAATCTTCCTTTTTGGCAGAGATATAAACGCACAAATATTGAAAGAATGGACACTCGTTCATAAACTTTTCGAGATATCAAGCCAATTAATTTAGTTTAAGAGGTAGCCTTTTGCTCATTTTGGGGGTTTTCTCAGCCAATCGAAGAGTTGTTACTTAAACAACTGCACACAGTAGACAGCTAAACAGGTTATTTTTTAATTCCTTGAGTCGTTGTATCTTAAAGTTTCATGAAATATATAGATATATATACATTTTGGTTCAGAAACAAATTCGTTGTGTATTTCGAAGAGGAGCACACATTAGATAGCATTACTACAGTTTAAGTTCTTTTTAAGATAAATAGACAATTGTTAGAATTGAAATTACTCCAACACTCGTTGTCTTGTTGTCTCTTTCTTTATTCTCTCTTACTACACAAGTTATTACAACGGGGACTAGCTCTGATCTCTCGAGGAAAGTGTGGGTCACCACTTATAAAGGTGACACTTATGGAGCATCTCTAAGCTTCGTCATGTTTTCACACTTAAATAGCGAATCACGTTAGGCTACGCAGAACGGAGTTCGAAATACCTTCGCGATGTTTACGCTTCACGAAATGTCTTTCTAACTTAAATTTCTTGGTCTTACAGTCAAGTTCGGGCAAAACAAAAACAAGATTGACAATATAAAAATTATAATAAACTTAGTAACAGAATTAAAATCAGACTTGAAAAGATATCTTAAAAGAAAATAGTCCTTGAAGGCTGTTGCATAACAGCAGAAAAAACACAAAATTCGGAGATGAAAGGGCGTACCCAAGGTACCGTCCCTGAAAGAGCTACGTGCTAGTCGTATAAGTTATCTAATTACAAATTCAGTGCGGAAGATCAAAAGTACTACATGTCTACACTTTAAGTCACCTCTAAGAAAAATAGGTTTCGAACGTGCTAAATTAAAAACTCAAAACTATTTTCCTGATCGGGAATTCGACATGGATTTAGCCTAAAAACGAGAGTATTAAATGGATGTAAGTATAAAGCAGGGTTATTTCCAGGAAATTCCTGCACGGGATCAATTTTTATAGGGTAGAGTCATTTTCCCAGTAATTAATTATTTTTTTAGCAACATAATAGAAATATACCGGTATCTAGCCGCAAACCGCACTTTACGCAAAACATCTGTTTCCATGTCAATTTCACGATCACGATAAGGAAAAGGTGACCAAACTCTATGTGTAAGGTAAGACCGCCAAAAGGAATAAGAAATGATCAACTGGCTTATTAAAATGTTTACTGAATGGCTCATGCAAATATGTTTGTTTCGTCAATATAATGAATTATTAACTTGATTTTCCTGATTGATTTTGATTGACACTAGCTTATGTAATTAAGCCACGTGAATAGTTCAGTTTTCAGTTCAGATACTTAAGATTCGAAGATACGTACAAGTTCTGCTAACCTGTCTTGCTGACCCGTGTTCTGTTATACCCTGACCTGTTTCATCTGTTGCTGACCTGTACGTAGCTATACACCGTGAAACAATCCTACTAGACATCGTCATAGAAGTAAGTTCTCAGTGCTGTAATTCTATCTAATAGTTTTACTCGTGTGTTTATGAATCGATGGATCCTGTTCAATTTCTCAAATGTATCTCGTTCTTTCTTTAGATCGAATAATAATATATTGGAATAGATTATACGATTTGGATTGCCTGTTTGGTTTTGTTGGACCAATGTTTTTTCCATTTATTTTCCAACACTAATAAAGGAAACCCTTACAATGTTTTTAGATTAGATATATTTCTATTTTTTTATCGTTTAACACTATAAATGGTATGATAATAAGATAATAATCCTAATAATCCTATGAAATTCAAGAGAGCAAATTCGGTTAGAGAGACATTTTCAATTGAGTGTCGAAACTAATTCGACAGTGCTATGGTTTTCTTCACTTCGTCCTCTGATTGATCCTTAGAGTTCGTGCCACTTTCCTAGCCAATCACATTCAAATCAAAAACTAATTGTGAGCCAGTCATTCGCGCTTTCCCGCGCTTCAACAACTCGGTTGTTCTTACTTTGCATTCTTATCGGCCTACTGGAATATTTTTCTGCGTACTGTTAGCTGTTATTAATATTTAGGCTTTGGTTTTAGGACGCTCGATGAAAATGCGCTAATAACCAAATACCAGCATAATAAAAACAAAACAGAAGAAAAAACATGAGAATGTAAATTCTTCAATTAGTCCTGGGAAGGTAGGGCTTTGTAATTGCAAGGTCTCCTAGACAGAGGAAGAAAGGCTTGAAGGCTGTACTTATGGCATTACCCGGATGCAAACCCTTTGTGTATCAGCCTTTATAATTTAAGCCAGATCAGTCGGTTACAAGCATAGCACATCTCTTTATTGCTACATTCTCACAAAGAGCACATAAATAAACCATAGCATAGTCGATAAAGGCAGGTTTTCTGCACAAATAACACATTACCAAGTTTGGCGGTCCTGGAAGCTCATGCGCATGACAAACCCTAGCAGCCTGCATGTCATTTCTCCAAGGCGTAAACCGACCACAGATGAAACACGAGTGCTCGCTAAAAGCTCCACGTTTCATGTCGCAGAACCTACAGATGTGAACGTTGTGAGAGAAGGCGGTTCCTGGTAGGAGTCTCATGTCACAACGAAAATCCTGGAGGAGAAGACGAGCAGCTCACTATTAACCTTTTTGATCCCCAAGAGTGACTAGAATCTAATTTCTCCTTACAATATCACCCCTGAATCACATATTGAGGGCATGAGAAGAATGGAAATGATCACCAACTTTGTTAAACGAATTCTCCCTGTCTACACTTTAGGAAATGCATGGAGAATAGTATGAATAATTTGCATCTTGATGTTAAAATGTAATGGGTTATGAGTTAAATAGCGTATGAGACATGCACTGTCAGGAAAATGAGCCCACGCTCCTTCCCCCCACCCCACCCCCTTTCTTCTAAGAGCAGCAATTAGTCACGTCACGTACCCTGACCTTCAACGGCCAAGCAGGTCTGGGCAGGTCAAGTCGGGCAGCATGAATACCTTATTCGAAAGAGCGGTAGAATTTGAGCCCATAACCTACAATCGTGACCAAACGTCCCAAAAGCTCGCAAACACACTCTAAATGACTCCAACTCACACATGTATACATAGATATTGCAGATAACATTTGTAGTGGTGCTGTAAATTAATTGATCTCTACCCACCCCCTCCCACCACCAACATTTGTAATGGTGCTTTCAATTGATCGACCTCTCCCTCTACCCAACCCCCTCCCACCACCAACATTTGTAGTGGTGCTTTCAATTGATCGACCTCTCCCTCTACCCAACCCCCTCCCTTCACCAACATTTGTACTAGTGCTTTAACTTGATCGACCTCTCCCTCTACCCACTTCCCCCCCTACCATCAACATTTGTACCGGTGCTTCAAATTGATCGACCTCTCCCTCTACCCACCCCCCCTACTTCCACCACCAACATTTGTAGTGGCGCTTCAAATTGATCGACCTCTCCCTCTACCCACCCTCCTCCCTCCACCAACATTTGTACTGGTGCTTTTAATTGATGGACCTCTCCCTCTACCCAACCCCCTCCCTTCACCAACATTTGTACTAGTGCTTTAACTTGATCGACCTCTCCCTCTACCCACTTCCCCCCCTACCATCAACATTTGTACCGGTGCTTCAAATTGATCGACCTCTCCCTCTACCCACCCCCTCCCACCACCAACATTTGTAGTGGTGCTTTCAATTGATCGACCTCTCCCTCTACCCACCCCCCTCCCTTCACCAACATTTGTAGTGGTGCTTTCAATTGATCGACCACTCCCTCTACCCACCCCCCCTACTACCACCACCAACATTTGTAGTGGTGCTTCAAATTGATCGACCTCTCACTCTACCCACCCCCCCCCCCCTACTACCACCATCAACATTTGTAGTGGTGCTTCAAATTGATCGACCTCTCTTTCTATCCATCCCATCCCCTCCCACCACCACTAACAACAATGTTAAGAACGAAAGGAAAAGTTAGAGAGATTGAAATCATCACCATTTGGGGGTGGGGGCGGGGGGAGGACAGCACCTCGAATCGCGCTGAGAGTGCTTTTGCAAATGAATGTGATTGACTTTTGTCCAAGAACGTAGCTCCAGTTGCTATCTCAACAACTATAAACTTTAAAACCCAACAGAGGATCAACCAGTTGATTTTCTATTTTAGAAATTTAAGTACTTTCTTTTATGGACTTTTCTCGTCCAACTGCAAGATTTTTTATAGATTTTCAAATTTCAAACTACCTCATAGTAGCGGTCTTTCCATTGTCCTGGTTTTCCAGAGCGCTCCTCGTTCCTCAGAAATTCCAGCAGCCTTTTCCTTTTCCCGGCCAATTTAAGCTGTTCTGGTGCCATGAAGATCACTCGGTCTTTATCTTTACAGTGAAGTTCAAAGTAATCAGCAAGTTTCAAATGGAATTTTTCCTTTTCCTCAGAATCCTGGAGAATAGTTTCCAGGACAACCTGTAAAAATATATTAAAACGCGAATTTTAAGAAATGTGGAAATTTATTTTCGACCAAACTTCGGACACGAATTTCTAAAATCGGACACAAGTGTCCAAAATTTACACACTACCGTCTGAAAACAGACCCTAGTGTCCAAAATCGGACAGTACCGGCCAAATTTGGATGTCGACATCCAAAATCTGATAATATTATCTGAAAACGGACGATTGAGTCCGAAATCGGGCGATGCTGTGTGAAATAAGGTTACTCACCTCTTGTATTGAAGCGTGGAAGAAATCAAGTCTTTCCTCTTCTCTTCTGCCAGCAACGTTTCTAAGAAAAGGTTTCAGTGTTCGACGCACTTGTGCCCAGACCATCATGGCCACAGCTTTGGAAAGGTCATCACTCAGGAGGTATTGGAGCTCTGTTTCACCCAAACCACCTCTGCTGCAAGCCAATAGTCCCAAAACCTTCAAGAAAAATAGAGAACGTTATTTTCGCTAAGTTTAATTTCATCAACATACTAGTGCTTGGAAGGGATGAGAATAAAGATGTATGCATCACATTGGCTTTCTGTGCTTTAACCTCATCCACCCACACAGATACTCCGAAAAAAAAAAAGGGAGAAGCCAAAAGAACAACTTTTATGGGCAAGTTTCATTTTTAAAAAATTTATTTTACTCCAACGATTGACAAGGTCAGCAGCTTCTTGAAGGAGTGTTCTTAAGTAATATGACATATGCCTATGGTGACAAGATGACGTCATAAATTTAACTTCTTGTCCTTCTGATTAGAGAAGAACAATCAAACACAAGTTTAAAGTTAAACGACTGATCGGCCACTGAATTCTAATCAGCTAGAGTGAGATACCTTTTGAATGTTGTCGTCTTCGTCCTCTGCTGTGAGCCTGTTCATTATAAACTTCAGAAGTTCTTTCAACGTAGACGGCAAATTTACGATGTGGCGAGTGATGGTCTCAAAAACTCCAAATACTCTAAGTTCCTCACAAGACAGTGATAGCCAAAGAGGGTTTGACGCCCCTGGAGAATCGATCAGCAGTTTCATCTGCTCCGCATCCAGTTTCTTGAAACATCAGACAAAATAGTTAATGATCACCAACAATCAAATGACGCTGGGTCAAAATAAAGCAGTTAGTTGCAACAGCCAATAAAAAGAAACGTAAACATCGCAATGAACCAAAGGGAGCTCAAAGAAAGCATACGTGACACTTGCGCCATGCGCGGGAAAAAGCACGTTGTGATAACCTGATTGGTTTTGACTGAGGAGGTGTGACATGTTTTGAACCAAGTAGAGGGAATAAGCGACACTTGGTTTAACCTGACTTGTCTGTCTTAACATTATCTTTGTTAGGTCAAAATGCCAGGTATTGAATAGCACTGAACAATACCTTTTTGTACTCGCCCAATTTACGTTCCACTATCTTTTGTCGGACAGACGTATCAAGGTCTGGTAGATGAAGGGGTACTGGACTAGGTGCGCGGCGCTCGTCGGACAGGAGGATAACAGAACGACTGTCAGTCACTGCACTGATTACGCAACGAACATTGTGCGGGAAAGAGCTTGGAAGCCAGTCCATATGTTCTTGGGATTCAACATCTGCTAGCTACCACATAAATTTAAAATTAAGTAAAAAAAAGAAGTCCGCGTTGAGATGAAAGGAAATGCACAAAGTTGCTTTTCATTGTGCGACGTGCGCACGTTTAAAAAGGACCTGCATGTTTCTTGACACTAAAAGGCGGGAAATTTTCGCGCCAAAGCTTCGCCGGTGGGCTACGCAAGACATTTACTAACGCGAAACTCGAAGGAAAACAAGAAATTTTGTATATCTTTGGATTTTTCTGCTTTTGTTTTTTAATATACTTGGAAAAGACTGTAAATAAAAGGTCTTACTATTACCTGGTTGACTGCATCGATCATTATCACAAACACCTCTTCCCGTTTACCAAGCTCTTCTACGCCTTCCTTGATCTCTTGTTGAAGTTGTTTCACACTCATCTGCTCGATGTCTGCATCGAGGGTAAGAAGGAAATGATTCTCTTACTTAACTGCACATAAATCACTGAGTTCTCTCGATTCTTTGTTAAGACAGGAATTTAACACGCAGATTGAGGTTTATCATTGTCTGCGGCCAGTCCTAACTGTGCATAAACATCAGTTTCAAGGGAAAAAATCGCGATTCAGTTTTAAAGATCAGCATTCAAGAATTTGCGAGTGTCTTATACAAAAAATGTTCAGTAGCAATGTACAGACCTTCCACACTAAAACCTTTATTAAACCATCGTACAAGCTTTTCCAGGAGTTTTAAAGGTACCGTTGATCCAGGACATGCCCCAACAAAGTGAAAGAACAACGGGAGTCCAAGATTTTGTATCTCCAGCGTACAATAAGCCATGAGTGCTGACTTCCCAGAGCCTGAAGACCCTAGAACTATTAGAGGAGGACGACGTCCTGAGCCAGACCCATCAGATATGGTTCCATGTTGAACATAGTTCATTACAGTAGTAATCTCTTCCCCACGACCAAGTACAAGCTGGCCTCTCAATTCAATGAACTGATTATGCATTGAGAGCTCTGCGGTTTGGAGGATTGAATGTCAAGAAATAAAATTTACAGACAATGTTCTGTGATACTATTGATAATATGCTAGCCAGGCCCTCATGATAAGAGCTGCAGGATGCGCGTTTCTCCGCCTGCAAGAAGATTGAAGACGTGCACATTTTTTTATTAGCTTGCTTTGCAAAAGGCCTCACATTTTCTCGCAGATGAAGAAACGCTCGTGCCGATGCGTTGATGACGAGGGTTTGCTATGACTATAACACAACTGACGACAACACGCAGCATTACGACTTGGCCTGTTCTCGAGCCTGGACCTATCAACCGATACTCCTGCGAGCTACCTGTTAAGTCAACCCATTTCCACCTGAAATTAAGCTGCTTCAAAGAAAACTCACCAATTTCTTCCACTGACAATGTCTGGTTTACGGTCGGAATTAATCTGTTGATAGCTGACTTGAAAAATTCGAGCACAATTTGACAGAAAACCTCTAACCCTTTGAGTTTGACCTGCAATATCAATAAAAGTCGAACAAAATAAATTTATTTTTAGTCAAAGGTAAATTGTCTAAACCACTCAGCACTATGACTGATAATGTGGTTGGCTCGAGTGTTGGACTTTCAACAGAGCAATTATTTGTGATGAGGTTGTTTACCTAGCAGAGCTTTACAGAGTGCATCTCTAGATACCTTCTAGTATAAAATAGTACTGGGCAACTGTTGTGGAAGCTTATTGCAATGCCAAAGCTTCCCACTTCGAAGAAGAAGAAGAAGAGCCCTTGATCCCCCCTCCAGCAGCAGAAATCAGAAGTGGAAGAATTTTGTGAGTTGCCTTAAATACAGAATTCATTTCAAATTAGGGCTTAATTAGGTATGTTGGACCCTAGTGGCCTATTTCATATTTTGAACACTAGTGGCTGATTTGGTATTTGGGACACTAGTGATTGATCTTGTGTTATGAACTCTAGTGGCCGATTTTGTATTTTGGACTCTAGTAGCCAATTTTGTATTTTGGACCCTAGTAGCCCATTTCATATTTTGGGCACTAGTGGCTGATTTTGTATTTTGAACCCTAGTAGCCAGTTTTGTATGTTGGACCCTAATGGCCCATTTCATATATTGGACACTAGTGGCTGATTTGGTATTTGGGACACTAGTGATTGATCTTGTGTTATGAACTCTAGTGGCCGATTTTGTATTTTGGATTTTTGTGGCCGATTTTGTGGTTTGGACACTAGTGGCTGACTTTTTATTTTGGACACTACTGGCTGATTTTGTATTTTGGACCCTGGTGGTTGATTTTGATTTTTGACCCTAGTGGCCAATTTTGTATTTTGGACCCTGGTGGCCGATTTTGTATTTTGGACTCTAGTAGCCAATTTTGTATTTTGGACCCTAGTGGCCAATTTTGTATTTTGGACACTGGTGGCCAATTTTGTATTCTGGATTAAAAATTAAAAAAATTCCAATTTTTTTGGGACTAATCATGGATTCTTGATATCCTAAGAACTACACACTTAAGTACTTCAAATATATAAAAGCTACAGAAACAGCAATTACTACCTTTGACCTTCCTGTTGATTCATCAATCCCACCATATTGACAAGAATAATCAAATACTTGTCCAGGATATCTTTGTCTCAGATTTTCCTTCAATGCCTTCAAAAGAATTGTGGTATATGTTTTAGAGAAATTTGCCAAACTAGGAAAAAAACCAGTAGATGCTCAACAGTACTCCTTTAGACCTTTACATCAGTATGCATATTCTCCATACTGTTCTCTGTACATTTCCTAAGGTGCTGTCAAGGAGAATTTGTTTCACTGCAGTCAAGAGCTCCTTTAGGTAAAAGATTACATTAAAGTAGCTGGTACTTCAGGAAAAAAGTAGCAGCTGAAAACAGTGGTGTAAAAGTTTATTCATACAGAATTTACCCTTAAATTACCTTTAAATGTGCCTTATTCAGAGGATGATCATCCACAAATGCTTTCATCATCTGTGGGGGCAGATCTGCTAAAAACTCAGAATCTCTCAAAAGAAATAGTGCGTTTTTATTTTGCATCTTGTATGCAGCATGAATGATTTCCATGTGTGTTATTGATGTTGGAAAAATCCACTGGTACTCCTCTTGAATTTCTTCTGATATTTCTGATGAATCTGGAATCCATCCATATCTATAGATGTAAATGATCTTGTTTAGTTTAAGCATAACTGTTACATTTGTGTATTTGATACAGTTTAAGTGACTTAAATACTAAAAAAAGGTAACAATCAAAAGTTATTTGAGACTAAAAGCTGTGAGATAACTTATCAATAAGTTAAAAGAATTTGGTTTTAGATCAAGATAAAAACTTCCATCTGATAAGTTTGATTATTCTTGTAACCTGTTTGATGGATAAAGTATGGATATCAAAAAGGAGAAGTTACATGTTCATCACTTCTGGGAGTTTAAGGGTTAAGGATTCAGTTTAGACTCTAGAAATTAGGAAAAAAATTTGAAAGTGGTATACATTACCGCTCTCCCAGCATGTTTAAGAAAAATGATTCCCCATCTGCCTCTGCTGCACAGCGATTAATTTCACCCAAACAAGTTCTGATAGTTGTTTCTGTTGTGGAGTCTTTTGGGACACCCCATCTGAGGTCACATTCAATCAAATTGATTGACTTCTCTTCACACCACTCACGCAGCTCTGGAACAACCTATCAGACACAAGACTCATCACAGTAAATCAAGGGCTTAAGTAAAAGCTGGCTACGAGCAGTCTACTGCCCCCCTATTAAACTTCTTGCTGCCGTCTGTGAAGTCTGCAAGTGTTTAGGTTTTGCCTTGTGGCCCCTTCTCCTGTATTCATGTTCACAATACTATAATTCCTAAAGAATTAACCATGGGTAAATAAAAGTGATTTGACCTGGTTTGAAATTCTATTTAGTCCTTTATCATCTGATGCTTAAGTTGAAATTGACTTAGCCAGAACAACTTAATCCTTTAACCCCTAGGGGTGACTGGCAGCTAGTTTCTCCTTACCATATCACCCCTGAATCAAACATTAAGGTCAGGAGAGTAAGGGATCTCATCACAAACTAAAGACGTTCTTGATTGTTAGACAAATTCTCCTTGTCAGCACCTTAGAAAATGTATAGAAAATAGTATGGAGAATATGCATACTGATGTCAGGGTGTAAAGGGTTAAGCTTAATAAGTCTTAACACCAACAGCATCTTCCTCCTTTCTCTTCACACAAAATTCTTTGTATCCACCCTCACTTTACCCAAGGTGACTAGGACTCCTTACCCTCCTCCCATACACCTCTCTTAGTGATGTCTCCTGGGAATCAGAGAACTCTCTATAAATAGTTTATGACAATTCTCATTTTCACATGACGTCACACTTCTTGAAGATTTTGAAAATTCAGTTCTAAGCAACGTTAAACAACTGGGTCAGGGGTGCTGGCAATGCCTCGTTTTGTTTTGGTACATAATTCTCATTATAAGGAGGCACCAAAGACGCTGCGCCTCGTGTGCCACTTCTTTGTTCTTACCACATTTTGACGTCATCTGTGATCTATTACCGTAATTTCCGATCGTTTACCCGCACGGCCGATTACCCGCACCGGCCGATTATTGCATACGGCGAAAAAAAAAGTCACCAGATTACCCGCACTGGTGGATAACCCGCACGTTGTTATTCAACTTTTCGGTGGCGAAAACGTGACATTAAGGTGATACATTTCAGTCTTTTAAAAGTTGTCTGATCCAACTTTCGAAAACTTCGAAGCGTCTTTGTCGAGTTTAAAGGTCAAAGAAATTCAGACGCGTGCACAATTCTGTGTCAATATTAGCATGTACTTTATTGATAAGATTATATAGTAAAAACACTAGCGGCCCATGCCCAAATCTCAACGTTTCATACTTGACAGAATGCGAATTTGTGGCCACATTTTTGTGCGAGCGATCGTTCAGCGCCATGATGATTTGTTGAAAAAAAGCTGGGTGAGTATTAAAAGTTGAATTATAAAGTACTGTCGGCGATTTCTGAAAAAATCGATATCTCCGGTTCTATTGGGCCTAACAAGTCCCTTAAAACGGGAAAATTCTCTTTAGCTCAAGCTAGTGTTAAATGGAAATTTTGTTACTGATGCGCCGGATATCTATGGATAATTTTTGTCACCATCAAGGTTTTGTTTTCACGCGTGCCGATAATAATTTGTTCGTCGCGCAACTAATTATGCGTGAAATAAACTCGAGTCGGCATCATGTTTTCGTGCCGCTTTGCGGCACTATTAACACAATAAAATTTACTTGAGAGGTGGAAACGCATGTTGGTGACATTTTTTTTTTCAATTCAACTACCAATTGGATTTTAAAATTGTCACATAACCCGCACCTCCCTGTTACCAATCTAAGACAAGATCGCTTACAGCGTAGCGAAATGCTTTCCTGAAACAAAATTATCAACGCGCTGAAGCGTAACAGAAGGAATATTAACCCATTTACAACATTTAAACCATCGGGTTGAAAATGTCATAAAACAATTGGTTTATACGTCAGCTGTGCGTTCATCGAGATATGAAGCACTTGGAAGTTTGGAGAGCACTCAATACACTTGACTATTCAGAAATAGCCGACAACTGAATTATCTTTTCTATATCTGATGATGATAAAGAAATTAAATACCGTTTACCATTGTATAATCAGAATTGAAGTCCTGGAACAAGGAACAGAAACACCACCATCCGTTACCATCGACGATTACGAGCTCGAAGTGGTCCATCATTTTACGTATCTAGGCTCCACTGTCACTGACAATCTCTCCTTAGACTTCGAGCTCGACCAGAGAATTGGAAAGGCGGCTGCCACACTTGCACGCCTCACTACACGTGTGTGGTCCAACCCCATGCTCACAGAGAAGACCAAGATGGCAGTATACAGCGCTTGTGTCATCAGTACACTGCTATACGGCAGCGAGACATGGACGATGTACGCCAGACAAGAAAAACGCCTGAACACCTTCCACATGAGAAGCCTCCGCCGCATCCTGGGAATTTCGTGGCAAGACAAAGTCCCAAACACAGAGGTCCTGTCTCGTGCGGGCCTGCCAAGCATGTCAACCTTACTCAGGCAACGTAGACTCCGCTGGCTGGGCCACGTTCATCGCATGCCAGACGGCCGCATCCCCAAAGACTTACTGTATGGTGAGCTAGCCACTGGAAGTAGACGCAGAGGACGCCCACAGCTGCGATACCGAGATGCTTTGAAGCGTGACATGAAGGCTGTAGGAATTGACACAGAGACCTGGGAAAATCTCGCAGCTGATCGGTCACAATGGAGAGGAGCCGTTACAAGGCACCTCAAAACAGGAGAAGAGAAGCTGACACAAGCTGCCACAAGGAGGCGGACCCGCAGAAAACTTCGTATCAGCAACGTCCAACAAACAGCATACACGTGCAGCACTTGCGGCAGGGACTGCCATTCACGCATTGGCCTTCACAGTCATAGCCGCAGATGCTCCAGCCAAACACACAATTAGGATGCTATACCCATGGTCGACCCTGACCGATGGAGGCCTACTAATCAGAATTGAGTGCTCTTACGCATCTTTCGTGCTCTCCAAACTTCCGCGTGCTCCATATTTCGATGAACGCACGCTGACGTATGAACGTGTTTTCTTTATGAAATATACCCTCAAGCTAACTAAGAAGCACCATTTTATAAGAAAATTGAAGACTAGGAAAAAGACAAAAATTAAACAATAATAATTCAAAGCTTGCTTTGTGCAAACTACCTTAAAGGACAAAATGCGAATATTAAAAAAGACACAAGACTTACCTTTTTGACTAAAACTTCCCTTTCGGCATGATAATCGGCGAACGTTGATGAAACAAATAGCCTAACGACTCTCCAACCTCTAATTCTTGGGTCAAAAGGCGATGATAAAGATTTTTTAACCGTTTCATCTCCGCAAATATTCCCAATATCCTGCCAGCACTTGTCAACAACTGCTTGGATTTCTTCTTCCGAAGTTTGTGTTAACTTATTCATCAGATGATCAGCCGTGGTAAATTCCGACAAGAAAGAGGTTCAACGAGTGAATTAGTAATTCAACGTTTAATCAAAGTGGCGACTCAAGCGAACACATCCAGCGAAGTTAATAACTTATATCTTAACTCCTTGCTCGTGAGTATGGTTAACCGCGTGTCTCGAAGCGGAACAATGAAATATCAATGTGAAAACGCCGATGAGTCATACATAATCATGAAGAGAAGGCAAACAGGGCCGGGTCACATGACGAATCACGAGATTTTGCTTATAAAATTCTTTGGTCAGTTATTTTGTATTTCAACATATTTGGATGGCGATCTCCCGGAGCATTACAGACGCATATACAAGTATTATTAATCGCGGCTAATCCACACTGAAAGATGTTATTAAGCGGTAATTTTGGAACGGATTGAGTCGCGAACGCTTAAAAGCCATGAAAGCCTTGAATGCCTTGTATACTAAGTATGCCAATGTCTTAGTTGAAAACGTTCACTTGTTGTAAAAAGCAAAATCTGAAATCTGAAACCAAACTGCATATACTTTATGCAATTTATTGAACAACACTACTACCGTGAGACTGAAGAACATAACTATAATGGATGCAAACTGCTTGTGAAGAAAGACGACATGTTGGATTCACTTGATGGCAAGGAACGTAGCTACGATAACAGTACGAATGGTATTAATTTCACGATCAGAAAGGTGAATCTTATGTTTGTTTTCATTGTAGTTGTATGGATATTCTTTTTTAATAAATTCGTGATCCAAAACCCTGTGTTTTTTTGTGTATAATGTTATTATGTTAATATTGTTTACGCAATTGTCTTGTCGCAGGCGGCCCAAGTTCACGTCTCGAGAAAAAGGCAACGATTAATTCATGAACGCGTCACGCATTGTGTGACTCGGTGTTAAGTTACGGGAGGAACTGCACGTTATAAGGAATAGTATAGGGAACGAAGTATGGTCGATTTACAACGATACATATTTCGAAATATGAACATTTTTCTCGTAAAATCAATAAAACTTACTCATACCCTGTGTATCCGTTGTATTTTCTGGCGATTTCTACCGTTTTAAGCTTGCTTTACCATCACTATTATTCACGTCATCTACTTTTATTATGTTGGTAAAATCTGTACAGACATCACACCAACCAACTCGCGCGCAAAGTTAGAAGACTATATTGAAAGCTTGAAATAATATTGCGATCGATTTTCATCAAGAAATGGGCCAGGAATATTCCACAATAGTGCAAATAATCGTGAAGGGGGATCGCAGAAAAAAGCGATTGCGTGACGCGCGGTAAGCTGTAAGATGACATGTTATTATATACCAGACGTAAAAACTCTTCAGATTCTTAGTCTGCATTTTGTACCTACTCTGCAGTCTGCAGTCTATATTTTGTATCCGGTCTGCAGTCTGCTGTCTGCATTTTTTACTAACGGGTATCCGTGGCACCAATACAGTTTATTTTTGGTTACATTTATTCGCAAAACATACATAATCTACCTCAAAATACCTGTGAGTGAGGTAATTCGACATTTTCGTTCTTTCCCACATTAATATTCTTCTCTCCTTTTGTAAGAATGTAGAAATCACTCACAATGTTTCAAGTAATCCACCCACCCTACAAAAAAGTAACTTTTGCATGCATAGCATGCCTATGTTTTGAAATAGGTGTATGCCCTTGGCCAGACTTGAGCGAACTATTTCAGTATACTAGTCCGACACCCGTAGTATCACTACACTTGATTCCAAGGATCCAGTACCATCCAGGTATCCCAGTTACCCTGCTCACAGGGTCTAGTTTAATCAGTTTGAGCGGGCGACCAGAGACTGGAGCCATTCGTGTATTTCACCGCACACAGGAATGGCTCCAAATCATGCGTATATTAATTTTATTTTTCGTTCTGGCTAAATAATTCATACACTGAGATAAAAACTGAAAGAGCGATTTATTAGGTTCTTCTTAAGTTGAAGTCTACAGTGCTTGCAAATGAAGCCCTCTTTTCTTACTACAGGGCCATGTAGTTCCTAAGTTTTAAAAGAATGCCGCAACTGCATGTCACGTTTGGAAGATCACGCAATGTTGCGTGACGCTGCGACCGATGTTTCTAATTTACAGTCTGCTCTGCTGGAGAAATATGGCTTGGCCACAATCGAGGGAGTTTTTTTCCGCGGAAAACTAATTTTCTAGGTTATTGTTCACATGAAGGACAAATCCATTCATCAGGCTCTTCATCTGTTTTAAAACTACTGTTCGCACAGCGCTGCTCACTAGTTTAGTTTTAAATTTTTTTTTTCAAAAACTGTTAAAAAAATATTTAAAAATTATTTAAAAAAATTATTAAAATTGAGTCGGAGCTATTCCTGTCTGCGGCGAAGTACAGGAATGGCTCCAGTCTCTGGTCGTGCGCGTGAACTGACTAAATGAATTTAGTCAGCGGAGCTAGTCAGCAGATGACTTTTTCATCGCCGGAATATCGCTGAATGACCTCGCTGAACAAGCTAGACTCTGCCTTCTCTTCATTATTTAAGTAGCCATTTCTTGTTTGACTCATCGGTGTTTTCACATTGATATTTCATTGTTCCGCTTCGAGACACGCGGTTAACCATACCCACGTGCAAGGAGTTAAGATTAGAAGTTTATCATCCAATCACAGGTCGCAGCCATTCCTGTAGTTAGTCGCTTGTATGAGTCGGTTGATGAGTCAAACAAGAAATGACTACTTACATAATGAAGAGAAGGCAGAGTGTTGCTTGTTCAGCGATATTCCGGCGATGAAAAAGTTATCTGCTGACTAGCTCCGCTGACTAAATTCATTTAGTCAGTTCACGCGGACTACCAGAGACTGGAGCTATATTTCATTGTTCCGCTTCGAGGGACGCGGTTGATCATACTCACGAGGAAGGCGTTCAGATATAAGTTATTAATTTTTACTATTTTTATCATCCAATCACAGGTCGGAGCCATTCCTGCGGTATTTAGACGCTTGGGCGAACACATGTCTCTCTGCAGACCCCCCTCGAATAACAAGCTGGTATTCCTCAGCGAACCATAAATAATGATGTCCTTAGTCTAAAATGATTATAAACAGTAACACAAATCCAACGTTCTAATGAGTAACAAAATAGTCAATAATAAAGTTCAGACATCAGCTTCTGATGCTTTTTCGTTCCCTGAAACTTGATCGTCAGTAGAGATTTCTGTGCAGGTTGCGTGACCTTTGTTGGCGCTATCAACAAACAAACAAACATTCTTGACCTAACTGCGATAAAGCAACTTCGAAAGATTGCTCAGTCTTTACATCACAAACGGTTATTGAGTTTTCTAGCTCATGATTTTGGATTTGTGAGCTGCTGTCTGCAACGTGATATTGACATTGTGACTGCGAAACAACCTTCTCATTTTTCGTCAATGAAATTTCTTTCCGCTCAGAATCTGGAATGAGTGTTTCCTGATTGTACTCCGACTTCCATTCGTGCAAGTTTGGAGTCGATCTGACCTCGCCAGGTGATAACACTCCGCTTTCTAATTGATTCTCCTCTCCTGGAAAATCGTATGAAGTTTCTTCCGGCCCAAACGACGAACAACCTCCTCTCATTAAAAAACGATAAAGAGAAAATTAGTCAAGGAAACGAAATTTTGAATCCAGTCACGAACTCCTCTAATTTTTTTAAGTGACCGGGAAAACCCGAGCCGTAGATGGAGGAACTGAAAATAGGTCCGCCGGGCGCAGGCGTGATAACAGGGAAGCGTTCTCCGTTTCTAGAAAAAAAATGAAGCGTTGTTCGTTTGGTATGTACTCGCTTCATATTTTTGATTGAAACGGAGAACAATTCCCTTTGTTCTTAGAAACGAACAACGCTTTTAGAATCGTTACTCAAACATATTTCTATTCCGAGCATACGATCGATTTCTGAATAGTCCAAGTCTTCATGGTATTGTTAGAAACCAAGAAAGAGTTTCTCAAGCTCACGAAACGTCCGTGAGTAAGAAACGGTTACATACCAAACGAAAAACGCTTCATTTTGTTGTTGGAAACGAATAATGTTTCGCTTTGTTGTTAGGAACGAACAACACTTTAAGAATCTTCATGGTGTTGTCGGAAACAAAGAGCGCCGTAGTGATAAAATTTCTCAACGTTATTGCCTATTAACAGTCTGAAATTCAGATCTTTTTAATACTTGTTTCTTCGGGCGACTTGACTTTTTTTTTCGGGCGACATGACTAAAATTTCGGGCAACATGACTTAGGTTTCGGGCAACATGACTTCGGGCGACTTGACAGTAAACCGCTGTTATAGCGTTAACTTGATATTGCAACCAGGAAAAAAAAAGCGCCTCTCTATTTCGAAATTTTGATGAGGCTAGCCTAACATCGTGCACAATAAGGAGCGGCTACTTCAATTTAGAGCCGATAGGTCGTTTTCGATCCCAATGCAAGAGTTATCTTCTCCCAATATTGAAGAAGTTCGGCGTCTAACTATTTAGTAAGGTCCGAATTCGAGTTAATCACAATGGCTGTACACAGATTTATAAGGCACGTTCAGCAGCAACTCACAGGACGGTGGTTTATGAGTTTGGCTCCTGAATGGTTCTGGTCTTGAACGAGGACTGAGGCGAGCCGGTGAAAAAAAACAAACCAAACAAAACAAAACAAAAAAAACACAGCAATGCAAAGAAGACTTCCGAGAAATTAAGAGTCTTTTATTTGAAATTTAATTCACTGCGCTTTAAAGCGTTTTCACATTCCAGTCCAACATTTGCTGTGTCTCAAGATGGAACATAAATTGTTGTAGTAAAAGATGTCATTTCATTGTTCTGTGTTTGCAATTTTCAGTTGTCATCTTCAACTTCCAGTTGACGTGGTCGGTAAAGCAAAACGTAAGCACAATGCCAGTCACCTAAACAAAGAATCACCATAGTTATCTTAAAATATTTGATAGTGTTGAACTAATCACGTACTCCGATTGGTCTTTATTCATGATCTATTTAAGGACAGATACGTTGATGACGTCATCATTAGCATTCATCATCATTGCCGTAGTTTCGTACAGTAGAGACCTTTGGTAGTTAGGACGGCAACGCTAAGGAAGACGTCGATTTA